AACGGCCTGGGTGTGAAAACCAGTGGTATGGAACAGGACAACAGGACAACAGGATCCTCGTCCACTTCCAACCGTGAGATCCCTACTTCAGCATCACCTTCCTCCTCATTCTTTTCTTTGCCAAGCTCATTCTCGTTAGCATCGCTCTTGCCCTCTTCCGCTTCTTCTTCAGCCTCTACAGAAGGATCTGGATTCTTTTCTGGAGTTGGCAGTGAAAGTGCAAGGGCTGCAACGGCTCCTAGTGCTGGTATTGGATCTACCAACATGAGTGAGATTGAGTCGCTGTTGCTTCGGTCCATGCCCATGTTTGGCAACTTGGTCTCGAGGGATTAAGGAAACGAAAAAAAAAAAAAAAAAAAAAAAAAAATAGTATTGTTTATTTTTTATTTATTCTTTAGTGCTCTGTTCTGTATAATATAGTTTTATCGACCTATCTATCCTCTTTGTATATAGTTTCTTTTATTTCTGGAATGAAAAAGTCGATGAAAATTGTCTTTGTTTTTTTTTTTTTTTTTTTTTATTGTATGGACATGTTAAGGTTGTCAACTATCGATAGTTTTTTTTTTTTTATTTTTATTTTTTTTATTTTTTTTTTTTTTTAGCAATGCAAAAATCAGTTTTTAAATAAGTTGTATCGGTTTTTCTTATTTTGAATATGTAAACACATTCATGTTTATTACTTACAATGGATAATGAATGCTAAAAACTATGTAACTACATGTATATATACAATAGAGACCGAATTACTCTTCTTTTTTTTTTTTTTTTTTTTTTGCAAAAAAAAAAAAAAAAAAAAAAAAATGGGAATTGCTTTAAGGAGCCCAGGTCTCACGGTGGAAGTCTGCGGACCAGTCGGCTTTCTTGACTTGCTTCTCAATCATATCGACGAAGCCATCAGGACCACCTCCAAAGACAGAGACCAAGCCCTGACCCTTGGCCTTGGAACCAACACCGGCATCGACGAAGCCCTGGATGACCTTCTTGACATCAAGGCGGCCACGGGAGTAGACGACATCACCCTCATCCCAGTTACCGTCCTCAGTGGCCAAGCGTTCGTCTTCAGTAGCAAAGTCAGGGTATGGCAAGCCCTTCTCAACATCCTTACCACGGCGGCTGAGCATGACACGGGCGGACCAGACAGCCAAGTAACCAATGATGGAGGCCACAACGATCTGGATCGTACCAGGGATCAAGGCATAGGTCCAGCGGCAGTTGGCACTAACATAGGTTCCACGAAGCTTGGTGGTTGGGCACCAGTTCGAAGGACCCTCCCAGGCAACAGTACGGGCGATGCACCAACCAGCCAGAGGGACAAGGATGATAAAGGCAGTGACAGCAAGATCGAGCTTCGCCCACTTGGTCGCAACAGAGACAGAGTTGCGGGCCTGGAACGTAGGAAGGGGTTGGTCGTGGTAAGTCATGGCACGGGTAGGGGAAGTAGCAATAGGCTCATCAGCCTCAGCAGCCTTCTCGGCAGCAGCCAACTGAGCCTTTTCAGAGCTGGAGCCAGAAGCCTTGGTTGGTTCGGGTTCCTCAGTAATGACCTCAAGATTAACAACGGTGTGGACTGAGCCGGATCGACGGACAGAAGAGTCAGTGCTGCTGGCACCTGATTCGTCGGATGAGACAGCAGTCAGAGCAGATTCAGGAACAGGAGACTTTTCCTTCTCCCTTTCGTTCTCGGCCACAATCGTGCGACCGGAAAGAGCACGCTTCAATATGGTACCGGTACGCTTAAGGCTTGCGAAGCGCTTCTTCTTCTTCTCGGGTCTCTTATTCTTGAGAGTGACTTGGATATCATTCTTGATCACATGTGCGTGTGCACCCATCAGGGTCTTGGGCTTATCAGGACGGGAGACATAGATCTCAACATGCAACCAGGAAGTGAAGCGAGGGTCACGTGTGATCTGATGCAAGAACGAACCATAGGCGTGGAGCTCACTGCGGGTACGGAATGTGCAAATCAAGTGAAGTTGGGTGCGGAGAGGTTCATTTGAAGCAGCGATCTGGGCAGCGATGGCTTTGATCAAGGCCATAAAGGTTGTGATGGCAGCACCAGCAACAAAGATGATCATAGTCTCAGACTTGAGGTAGTCATGGCGGCGGTCACCAAAGACACCGTCGACATTCGCCCTGACGCGGATACGCTTATCCTCATTACCACAGAGACGAGCAAGTGCGTGGGTCCAGCTGAGTTTCGAGTCTTCGAAGGTACGGATGAACAAAGTCATGGAGTAAGGGTCCTCAGGCCAGTATGAGGCGATGGTGAAGGGATGGTAAAGAGTTCCGATCTGGGGGATCTGAACTGCAATGTAATCGCCAGGGTAGTAGGGTTTCATGGGTTCGGGTGAAGTGAAGGTCAAGCGAATGATATCAGCATCAGCATTGAGGGAGCAAGTGGCCTCGGGCTCGACAGTGCGGGCCATCATCATCTTGGGGACGAAGCGATCGACCAAAAAGAGGACGATGGTGGGCAAGAGGTAGTACCAGAGCATGGGGCTGGGGTAGTGGGTCACCATGCCGACAAAGAAAACAGCGGTCATGAAACGATGCGAGCTCAAGAAAAGCAAGTAGCAGCGTCTACGGACCTGGGGGATTGCGCCAAGACCAAGAAAACAGACAGCGCCCTTTATGATATAGTATTACAAAAAGAATTGATGAAAAAAAAAAAAAAAAAAAAGATTAATATGTGGGCAGTAATTTGGAGTGGCTGAGTAAACCAGGGGTGGGTGATCAAAAAGGGGGAAGTAGACTTACATAGGCGAACACACCCATCATATTCATAGTACCGCGATTGCGATCATAAAAGTTGATGTCACTCTGGAGTTTGCCCTCGTTACCAAGGTAAGTGATGTATCCGATTGCGTGGATGGTGCTCCAGCCAACGATGGCAGCACCCAACCATCTGTGAAGAGGGATGATTTCTGAGTAGGTGAAGCCAATGGCATGAAGCATAGAGCGACGGAGGACCAAGAACAAGATCATGCCGCAGCATGCAACGATAGTATAGCCACTGGCATTACCAATCATACCTGTTCAATATGACAAGTGAGAAGGAATGTGAGTAAAAAAGGAAGGGCTTTAAATGCATGGGAAAAGGGTTCACAAGAGGGGGAAAAAAAAAAAAAAAAAAAAAAAACTTACGACCAACACCGCTAACCACTCCAAAGCGTGCAACCATGTTTCCGGTGCCATAGACCATTGGGACGATGAAGAAGGTTAAATTCAGGAGCACAACAACAAGGACCATGATCCAGTACTTGACAGTGTAGCCCCACCAGATATGACGCTCCCAAAGGGAGATCTTTTGGTTGACAGAGGCAGGGGCAGTAACTTTGGCGATACTGTGTTGGAATTCACGCTCGGCGCGGTAGTAGTGACCCCAGATGGTGGCGAAATGGCCCAAAACTGAAGGAGCAATGCAAAGACCAAGTACATAGTAATCACGTTGGTTATAAAAGTAATTGGGACCGATCTTGGTGTGCCATGTCAATTCATAATCAACAAAGTTGTAGCCAATTGGGATTAGGATACAGATGAGGATGAAGATAAAGAAGGGGTTGAGGAGATGGGGACGCTTGAATGTGAACGCCATGGTGTGGAAAGGAGACTATATCGGCGCCGATAGGGTAATGAAGAAAAGAGAAACGACGGCTGTAATTAGAGGAGACTAAAAAAGGTCAACACTGGCCGAGACAGAAAGGAAAAGTAAAAAAGAGAGAGATATAGAAAAGTAAAAGAGATTATGCGTATATGACGAGAGTGGACGAAGGATGATGAAAGGTAGAGGAGAGGAGATGAATGATAGAGGGTAAATGGTCAGAAGAGACTTTAGTCTTCAAGAGCCAATGTTGAGTGATGAGCTGGAATGAAGGATGGAGGAGGAGGGGGGGGGGGGGGGGGATGGTCAAGAAACGGAGGCCTTTTATATCAGATCATTGCAAGATGGATCGAGTTTATGAGGGTGGACAAGGTAAGGGCTGGGCCATACCCGATAATCCGTATCAACATAACAGGATCGAGCAAGGAGGAGACCGAAAACCCCGAGATACTCAGCAACGCGAATGACAGCGACGACAGAAGCAACAGGGACCAAAACAAAGAAGGAAAACAGATGGGGATGGATGGAGCATCATGAGATTGAAGGGAGAGCGAGGGTCCAATTGAATTGAGTATTGAATGATGATTCACAGACCATGGACATGGTTTTTTTTCAATTGATTGTGCGTACTGATTAGTATATATATGTATATATATAATATAATATATGTATTATATATTTTCCTATCAACGACAGTTGCTTTCCCAAGAGAGTAAAGAGAGAGAGAGTAGTGAATGTCTAATTGAAAGATAAATGAATGGAGTGACGAAAGAGGAATGGAGGGACAGATTGTATGCAAGTGCGCGTGAGTAATGAGTAATCTACTGTAATCTGATGAATAGCTTTTTGAATTATTGAGTTGTAAGGACTGAATTACGCATCTCACCCTGAGATTAAGAGCAGTATGCATGCGAAAGAGAGAGTTAATAGAGATCATTGATCCTTGCCTTGCAACTATATAACAATTATAATATTAGATACATGTAAGTGTATAATATGAATGTAAACATCACAAAAGAGTGGTCTGAGTGAACTGTTTTATATATATATATAACTGTAACTGTTTATATTGTATATATATATATTGTATATAGGGGCATTAGAATGCAATTGAATGAGTGCTGATATATAGATGTGTTTACATCGATGGATGTTGATGCTGATTTCTTTTTTATTGATGCCACGATGTGCAATGATATAAATTAAGGTTCACATTCAACATTCAATTGAATTGACATTTTATTCTGCATTTACATTTACATTTACATTTACATTTACATTTACATTTACATTTACATTTACATTTACATTTACATTTACATTTACATTTTAGATAGACAGAATATATACATTTATACATTTGCATTTACTTATATTTATTAAAAAGTCCTTAAAATATAAAATATATATATATATATATATATATCGTTTCTCTCTTTTTGGCTCGAGTGTTCTCAATCGCTTGATCGTGTCCGGAGGTGTCCGTGACCCGAAGGGCCCAGGCTCAGTTTTTTTTTTTTTTTTTTTTTTTTTTCTTATTCTCTCGATGAAATCTTTTCACTTTTACTTTACTCCAATCCCCTACTGTCTGCCCTTAACCACCCGCTCTCTTTTTAGTTTTCATCTTTTTTGTCCGCCCTCCTCCCCTGGCTGGTAGCTAAAAGAGTCCGGTTGCATCATCTAAAGTTCATTGAGTTGACTTTACAAAGTTCATTATCAAATCCATACGTTATGATAGGATAGCTAATGGGCCAATGATGAGGTAGTAAGGAAGGATTGAAGGTGGGAATGCACATGTAGGGGTAAGGGGACAGAGAACAGAGAGTGACTGACTTCTAATTCAGTTTACTGTTCATGTAAAGTAAGAAATAAGAAAAAATAAAAAATAAAAAAAAAAAAAAAAAAAGATTACATATGTGGTTCTGGAGTGTGTCTCTAAATGACAAATATGGGATGAGCATTGACAGACACGGGTATTGATGTGCCTGTGGACAATGCTTTTTCTTTTTTCAATGGTCAAAATAAAAAATAAAAATTTTTTTTGCGCGTGTTAAAGCGAAGAGAAAAAAAAAATCTTTTGAAACTGATCCAATGAGATGAGAGAATGAGTAATATCAGATCCTGAATGGCCTTTCCAAATTCGACCTTTTTGTGTTATCAGATGGAAACAAACATGGACACACATACCCCCAATGCTCATTTTTTTTTTTATTTCCCTCAACGGGACACATGTATACACACACACATCTTTTTTTAATGACCCCGGGGCAAGAAGGAAAAAAAATAAATAAATAAATAATAAGGTACACACCAGAGTAGTGGACTTTGAATCATCTCTTTTTTCATTTTCGTAGGACAAAAGAGTAATAAAGACAAGCATATACACTTTTATGTACAAATCGCTCACTCTTTCACTCCTCTTACATTTCTCTCTTTCTTTTTACTTGGATTGAGCGTCTAGGTTAAATAAAACGCACTGACTTTTAAAAAATAAAATAGTTCAGTCATATCCCTAACCTAGCCTAGCCTAGTCTAGCCTTTACACCCGACCGATCAGAAAAAAAAAAAAAAAAAAAAAAGGTTCGTTTAAGCATGGATCGGGCGGTCTGGCCTGGCTTTGGATTTTTTTTTTTTTTTTTTTTTTTTTTTACGTATTTAGTCACAATTGGCGCGTGGAACCCTTTTTCGGGTACCTGCTCCCTATGCGGAAATCGAAAACATTCACAGGCGACCCGGTCAATCAGTCCCCTCTCCTCCTCCTTTTGGTTGATAAAAAATTTTCTTTCAGATAGAAAAAAAAAAAAAAAAAATCTGATAAGGGATAAAAGGTAAACCTTTTTTTAATTCATGGTCGGGCTGCCATTGGGTTAAAGAGAGCCATTGTTTTCCCCGATCGCTCTTTTTTTTTTTTTTTTTCTTTTTTCTTTTCTCTACTTCTTTGGACTCGATAGTTCTCGAGCATCTTCTTGTTGCTCTCTGAAATAAAGAAATAAAGAAACAAAGAAAAGTTTTTTTCTGATCTGATAAAAAAAAAAAGAAAAAAAAAAAAAACGGCAGAGCCGCATCTGCGAAAAAAAAAAAAAAAAAAAAAAAGCCTAGCCTCCAACCTAATGCAAGTTCTTTATTTTTTTTTTTTTCATTGTTTGTGCTGTCATCACTTCCTTCTTCTTCTTTTGCTCTGGCTGAGATATATACCTTTATGGTTTTAGGTAGTGAAAACAGATCGAAGCGAAACGACAAGCGATCCGAAAAGATAAGGCAAGCCCTAGCGAGCTTTAACATTAAATTATTATTATTATTATTATTTTATACATGTATAAATTTTCTCAAGGTTGAGCGGAGAGAAAGAAAAGGTTAGAACAAGGCGGAGGTGTAAATGCAATGATGATGTTAATGGTGATGATGTTAATAATGCAAGGTTGTGGATACGTCCGTTTTAGATGAACTGCACTCAAAAGGTCTCTGTCTAGTATAGGTCCCATCTCTCTCCATCTGATACATTGTATAGAGCATCTATGAAACGGATCCCTCTTTTCCCCATCCTTTATGCATTAATTTTTTTTTTAGTCTTTGCATCGTTAATAGAAGATAGCAAAGATATATAGCAAACCAAGTTTTCTTTTATTTAACGAGTGTGTATGTGTGTGTGTGTGTGTGTGCGTGTTTTTTTTTTTGTTATTCGCACAGCATATCTGAGTTTCTGAACGGTCCTACACACAAGTCCATATCGCATCTTTTTCTTAAAAAGTACTTTTTTTTCCGTATACGATTAGAGGAGGAGAGATATTCAGCCCATACTTTTTTTTTTTTTTTTTTTTTTTTTTTTTTTTTTTCTTCTCTTTCCCTTCCATCTATGTTTTTGAATTCTTGGAAGAAAACAAGAAAACAAGAAAAACAAAACAAATGATCGCAACTTTCTTAAACTGTTTAAGCTAGTCGCATATTACCTATACACGTACATGTACAAAGGGATATTGCGAACACAAAGGAAATCTACTATTATTCCATCTTTTTTTTTTTTTTTTTTTTTTTTGTTTTTTTTGTTTTGACAGAAGCCTAGAACGTGTTTTTTTCTATTTCCTATTTTGTATCTATTCTGTTCTAATAAGGGATCTTCTTTCCCCTTCAAATCTCGGAATCCCACAGTTGGAGGCTGCAGGGTACAGATGCATGGTAGCACAGCATAGACCGACTCTATGCAGCTCATGTACATGTATATATATACTGTATAATGTCATGTATATTATACACGAACATCTCCCCTTTCCCCCGCCCTTTTTTTTTTTTTTTTTTTTTTTTTCTTTTTTCTTTACACGTAATGTAGATGAACATTTTACTGTTCTATTTTATAATGTAAAATAAAAATAAAAAATAAAAAATAAAAAATATATATATATAAAAATGAAAAAGAAATAGATCGGACCACAAGGACATTGGTGTAATTATATATGTACTTGCTATTTAGTTGATGAGATCGTTGGTTCGGACGCAGGATCTGACTTTGGTCAACTTTTATTTATTCGTAACTCGTAACTCGTAACTCGGAATGAGGAAAAAAGAAAAAAGAAAAAAAAAAAAAGATGTGTTCTATAGTTACACATCCATCTCTCTAGGCAATGTATTATATAGACGCGAAAGGACAGTTGATAGTGTATATATATATATAATATGTAAAAGATAATAGATTTTGGTAGACGTGTAAACCTGTATCTTGTTCTTTTATTGAATATATATAATATATACTTTAAAAATTACACTTTGGAAGGATAGAGAGACCCGAATCTATCGAAAAGAATAAAACTGATAGATCATGCAATTTAAAAAAAAAAAAAAAAAAAGAAAAAGAAAAAGTCGATACTTTTTATATGTATTATAAATCGACTAATGTTGCATATAGCACATAAACAAGACGCGACTCTAGTTGCTCTAGAAATCCGTAAACTTGAGACTTTCTAGGGCCTTCGTAGGCTATGATCACGTTTTTTTTATTTTTTATTTTCATCCGACATAGGATTGGTCCAAGAGAGAGAGAGATCACTCTGTCGTAGTAAAAGCGTAGATGTGTAGAAAACAAAACAAATGCAAATGCAAAAGCAAAAAAAAAAGAGAACTTGAATAACATAGCATAGTATATACAAATATATACTACATGTTATCTATTTTATCTATATATGTATGCTCCATAGTCATGCCTTGTCCTTCACAGGCCTAGATTGGCTTCTTTTTTTTTTTTATGTGGCATTTAATATTTGGTATTAAGGATATAAAACTAAGATATAGGATGTTTACACTCCTCGTAAGTGGTTATCCATAAACTGATCAAAAAGTCGATAACAATGTTTGAACTATATATATATACTAATATATAATAATGTATAATAACAATGATAATATATAATAATAAGCAGATATGCAATTTCTCCAACAAAGACGTGTTTTTTGGAGACAGCTGACTTGAGTCGAGTTATCTATGACAAACATTGTCCAAAAAGAAAAAAAAAGAAAAACATGTAATAATGATCTAGAGCCATTCTATGCTCCTTTTGCTTTACCAATTGCAATTGCATAGAACGTCTTTGTTACTTGTGGCACGGATCGACAATTTATTTTTTTTAAAAAAAAAGGAAGGGAGAAAGGAAAGGAAGAAAGGGAGAAAAAAAAAAAAAAAAAAAAAAAAAAGCCAAAGAATGAATCGAGTATGCACTCTAAGATTCTAGAACAGGACAATGAGCGAGTAGACCATTGTCAATCGATCATAAAGTTATCGATCACGCCGCGCTATTGCTTTTTTTTTTTTTTTTTACCTCGTGTTTATGGCCTTACTTTTTTTTTATTTTTTTTTTACGCAAGATGACAAAACTGTGTTCTAATTCAATAAGGGTCCTCTTTAGAAAAAAAAAAAAAAAAAAAAAAAAAAAAAATCCCCATGTCCGTGGAATGAAGGGAGCAAATAAAAAAAAGGTTTTTGGGGTGTATGTGTATGTGTAAAAAGGAGAATAGTAATAACAAGAAAAAAAAAAAAAAAAAAAAAAAAAAAAAGAGTTGTGGATAATCGGATAAGGATGGATTAGTTCGCCAATGACGCGTCGCGATTTCTTTTGATGACATTTCATTCATGCATGTGCAGCCCATTATCAGCTCATTGATATCGATGAGACGGTGGGACAAAAAACAAAAAGAAAAAAAAAAAAAAAAAAAAAAAGAAAAACGAGAACAAAGGAGAGAGAGAGAGAGAGAGGAGGAAGAGGAGAATTAGCTTTGTGAGCCCTGGCGTCCATTTTATGGCGCTGCGTTCAGCAGCTTTTACTTTGGATGTTCTGTAGTACTTGATTACATGCTATTCTGCATCGATGTGCGAATATGTGCGTAAATATATTATCAATCTGTGTCTCTCTCTCTCTCTCTCTTTCTCTTTCTTCTTTTTTTTTTTTTTTTGTTCTGGCTGTTTCTATGCATGATACAAAATAAAAGACGTAAAAGGAATGTATGTCTGTATGTCTGTATAGTTGTATATTACATTATACGCAAACATTCGTTCGTGTCAAAAGATGAACGATCAAGGTTATCTTCTGCGCCTTAACCCTTGTTTCCTATGGGTCGGATGCTTTTTGTTCATGATGATCATATGGATTACATATTACGTTTGATTTGTCAATTGTCTGTCTCCTTTGTTGTTGTTGTTGTTTTTTTTATTGTTATTATTATCTTTTTTTTTTTTTTTTCAGCTGTGTCTTTTGTCTTTCCAGGTTAACGGCGCAGGTCGTATGATAAATTGAAGTGTAATTGGCAGAGAGAATTAAGGATGTTGGTGTATCATGTACTTTGTAGTCATCATTGCATTATAGTGCTCTATTGCTTTCTTCTTGTCCTTCCTATTGCTTCGATTGCAAAGTTGTTACGTTGGAGAATATAGAGGAAAAGAAAATAAATGCAGACGCGTACTATATGATTCTTTCTTTTCTTCTAGCTAAAATTCCCTGCCGAAATAATTCGTTTCTTTTTTTTTAATTTCTACACAAACGACTATACACCTGCATAGCATACAAGGATAATGCATTCTCCTAGGGATCTGCTCCTTTCCTTGACTCTTAATTGCGTTAATGGCAATAAACTCAAATCTGATATCTCTTTGGTATACACAATATATATATTCAATAAAAAGTATTCAAATGTATATAAATGTATATATTGTTTATTGTTGTTGTATTGAGAACTTGTAACTTGTACTGCGACTAAAGTACCTATCCTGTACATGCGCATCTTTTTTTTTTGTTTTTTCCATGTCCATGCCTTTTTTCTTTTTTAGACATCATGCTTTCCAAACATGGTACATATCAGATCATGACCTAGACGGTTGTGGTATTTATTCGTACATGTAAAAAAAAAAAAAAAACCACATGCATGAGTTTACTGGATGACTTTTTTTTTTTTTTTTTGGCCTTGCCAAAAAAGTAGCACCATCTCCGAACTGAGCTCTTTTTTTTTTTTTTTTTTTTTTTTTTTGTTTCTTCACATCCTCTGCTTTTTCTTTTTTGTTTTCTGTACCCACAAAGCCGAATGCATCTTCATCTGATATTTCTCATCTGATATTTCTCATCTGATATTTCTCATCTGATATTTCCCATCTGATATTTCTCATCTGATATTTCATTTCTCTGTAGTTATATATTAATCTATACCTTTGTAAAGGAACTGAATAATAATAATAATAGTAATAAAAAATATTTTATCCTTCACTGTTTTAGTTTCCAGACCTATCTTTTGCCCGCTATTTTGCTTTCTTTTTTTCGTCCGACGAGTTGAAAGGAATCCTCCAACTCAGCTTGCATTGAACTATAATGAATATCCCACGCCTCATAGAGCAAAAAAAAGAATGAAAGAAAGAAAGAAAGAAAGAAGAAAGAAAAGAAGAGAAAGGAAAGGTATTAGAAGAAGATGCAGAGTGGATGCATTGCTGCTTCATTCCTTTCATCTGATAATGTATATAATACATGGATGGCATCCATTGGTGCTAAATAACTGTGCTACCCGCATCGCGCCATTTTTCTTTATTGTTGTTGACAACAAAGAAATCCTTGGCTAGTATATATATACTTATTATTATTAAGGCCAGTTGGTCATTACTAATAGAAAACATATTATATATATAATATATTATGTTATATATACATCTTGTTCGGAAAATGATGAACTAATATGGCTCTTGACTCTTGGCTCTCGACGCCCGGTGCATTCGCGACATGCGCGAATAATGAGATGGAAAAACAATGATGCAGGTGCTATGCCCATGTTTTTTTTTTTTTTTTTTTTTTTAATGGTCCTTTTTTGGATTCGGAAATCCGAGATGACTTTTTTTTTTTTTTTTTTTTTTTTTTTTTTCTTTTCCTTACTATTGGTCTATATTGCAAAAAAAAAAAAAAAAAAAAAAAACGATCGGAAGCGTCATTGTACAGCAGCAATGAGTATACTTTATGAGTATATAGTATGAGTAGATGAATTGCATTTATATTTGTATACTGGTGTATTACAATAACCGGCTGTAACCAAGAAGTAGAGTCCAATATGTATTACAGATGTATAGTATATATATATAACAATAAAATATAAATGCGTAAGGAGCTAAAATGTCCACGGCTCATTTTTCGAGAAAAAAAAAAAAAAAAAAAAAAAAAAACGTACACGGATGTGTGTGTGTGGCATGAGTACAAATAACAACAATGCAGCATGCAGGTGTTGTTGATGTTGGCCTCGGAGATGAAATACATATTGAAAAGGATTTTTTTTACAATAGTGTTTGTGTTATACTCTGTGTATAGAAAATGTTTAGAGACTTTCTTTATGCTAATGGAGATGGCGCATCTAGATTGAGTCGAACTTCAGTCTACTGTACCTTTCGGGGAAAGGGGGAGAAGGTTTAGGAACGCCTTTTCCAGCATCTGCATCGGACTCATCTTTCCTTTTTCGAAAAAGAAAAAAAAAACCACTTTAACAACCTAATCAACTTAAACAACCTAAACAACCTAAACAAGATAAGGACATGGTAATGTTTACTCTGTCCCAAAGAAGACCGAAATCTGTTTTTTTTTGGCGTAATTCGTCTCTTTGACCCTAAGAAGAGATAAGAGCTCCCTTATTTGTCAATGAAGATAACCACGTTTTCAAAGATTGTGGTCTAGTATTTATTCTAGCACTATAGGAATTATAGTAAGAAAGTAATACGCGTATCAAATGTTTTTATTTTTTATTTTTTTTAATCCGCCCTAGTCGTGGTCTCTAGGCTTGATCTTGCTCTGTTCTCGCGTCTTCAGGCACACATTTGTTCCATATGCACGATGGTATTAATCGACTCCACATTCTAATGAGCAGGTTCTCGAAATAGGGTCTTCTGCATACGATCGATGATATAAGAAGGAGCATGCAGCTGTACAGTGGCAGTGTAAGGACAACATAGGCAATTCTGAACGACCATGGTCCTTGGCCTAAGGATCCTGTCAGTCCTAATGCCTTCATCAAAGGCTTAACAACCAACATGGTAGATGACCCTGTAACTGAAAACACGATCTAAATATTGAGACGTGGGAAGAAGAAGAAGAAGAAGAAGAAGAAGAAGAAGAAGAGGAAGAGGAAGAAAGAGGAAAAAAAAAAAAAAGTGAAGGGGAATTAGGATTAATGAGCGCAATAAAGTAAAAATGCCTTTATAACTTTTTCTTTCCTTTTGAGATTCTTCTTACAAAGATAATAATCCATTCTATCCACCAGTTGGCACTGAATCGATAACGGACCATGGCACGATGGTGCTGTAGACGCTCGTCCCTCGGCTTGGGAGCATGGGTAGCAGTACCAGGGGTGACTCTAGGACCATCTTGATCATGAATATTCACAATAGTTGCAGTAGGAGCAGCATGGTTTACATCATGTCCCTGTTGTGGCTGCAGAAGGGGTTCAGCTTCTTGTCTAGTTGCTTGCGACATTTTGTTTTTTTTTTTTTTGAATTAGATTCTAGCAATGGTGATGAGCAGGTGAGGGTGTGAATGTGAACTGTGCACATCATGCAGTTACTCACACTAACAGTGTACATGTCCCATCTGCAATAAAGAAAAAAAAAAATTGAAACGTGACACGTTTGGTTTTTCCCAATCGCGCGTTTTTTTTAAATTTGAAATTTCGATCTGATAAAGCATTCTAGGGGGGAGGAAGGGAAATGACGGAGAGAAGCGGAAAGGAGAAACTTTTTTGCTCAGTGCTCATCTCTGAGCAAAAAGATCGGTCCATTTAAACTCGTAACTAATCGGTCCAAATGCAACAAGAAAAAAAAAGGGCAAATGTATATATTCATGTATACATGTACTTTCCATCTCTCTTTTTCTCTCTTTTCTTTTGAAGATCCCTTGGATAGCTTTATTAATTATATAATTTTTTTTTTTTTTTTTTTTTTTTTTAAAAAAAAAAGAGCTGTTATGGAGAAAAGTCTTCAATTATGCACCAAAGTGTAAATAAATATATATACTGTATATGTATATGCAGACATGCAGCACCGAAAGATCAGTGCATCTTGAATGAAAAGGTGCTAGATTCGACCCCAATGGTCTTTTTTTTTTTTTTTTTTTTTTTTTTTCTTAATCCGCGTGGCATTGTTGGCCAGGACTGGACTGTTTGAGAAACGCCTTGTTTTAGTCTGTGATGCAGAGTAAATGACGCTGAGTAAGAAGGAAAAGGAAGCATCTATCTATCAGATGAAAGAAAAAAAAAAGGTCCAACAGACTAGATGGAATACTTTCAAGAAAAGTTTTGCTGAGTTTAGTATCATTTTGGATGTATGTGCGTGAGTTTTTCTTTTTTTTTTTTTTGGCTTTACTATCTTGTCGTGTGTATTGGCGGAGTAAATAAAAAGAGACTAGATCTGGTTACCCTCTGTAATATATACATGTGCAGTATACAAATATGTGTGTACCTTTTGTCTCTTTAGTCAAAAGATGATGACAACCTGACCCGAGTCAAACTTATCAGATTCTGGCAATCCTGTGCCAGCATCTTATCAGATTTTTTTTTTTTTTTTTCCCAAGACGTTGTGATCTAGCCTCTTCAAGTAGAAGGAGAGAAAGAAAAGAGGACTAGACTGTATGTAATTCTGTCAGTTTTCACCTGAAAGGGGAGGAGGGGGCTAAAGGTCTAGTGCGGTCCGTGGCAATCCACATGCTTGGATGGTCCAAAAGAAGAAGGACTGAGTTCTCAAATTGTACGCCTGTGAATATTTTTGGAAGTGTCCAGCGGGCCTTCATCTCTTGTCTTTTAAGGTTAATGTTATGCAATGCTGTATGTATATATTTGTACAAGCACTATTCAATAGCAAATTCAACTGTTGTGGATGCAAGTGTTACCTCGACCTGTTCCCCATGCAAAACAGGAACCATCGCTACAAGGACAAAAGTTTTTTTTTTTTTTTTTTTTTTTTTTTCTTGGTCTTCATCGATACGGAAGGAAAAAAAAAAAAAGAAAAAAAAAAAGAAAAAGAAAAAGAGAAAAAGCTCCCTAGAGATAGGCTGACCACCACCTGGTACGAGATGTCCTCCGCGCTTCAAAGGATTGAACTATATAAGAAAGGAGCTGCACAACACAATAAAATGAGCTCTAGATAAGTATGCAGTACGACGCGACCTCTGATTCTGCTTTGTCCTCTATCATCACTCCACCTGTGCCTTCTTCAAGTCTTTTCATTCCTTTCTCTCTCTCTCTCTCCTTCTCCTTCTCTTTCTCTTTCTCTTTCTCTTTCTCAGCCACTTCTTGATGTCTGACAAATTCATATTCACTTGTCTGCATTGTCCGTGGAGCATTTCTCTCTTTCTCTCCCTCTCTCTGCGCCTTTTTGTGTGAGCAAGTAGAGGGTACAAAGCAAATGTTGGACAAAGCAAAGCCCTCTGTTCCGTGGACAAACATTAGTCCAGCATAACAGGGTCCTCATGCTCTTTTTTATCTTTTTTTTTTTTTTTTTTTTTTCCCTTCTGACCAGCTTTCTTGCTTGCGCCTTTACTTTACTTTCCTATGACCTCTTACTTTACTCTCTTATCGTACCATCAAACCATCAATGATCACATCATCACTGCATGACAATATCAATCCGCATGTTTATGTTGTTGATTTGTTTTTTTTTTTTTTTTCTTTTAACTTCATTATCTTTATTATCGTGAGCCAATCTTTCAAATCCCTTGCGACCGATTTCTGAGAATTTCATTTTTTTTTTTTTTTTTTTTTTTTTGTTTACATGTACAATAATCATCATTCGTTCAAAAGAAAAAGAAAAAGAAAAAGAAAAAGAAAAAAGGCCTCCTCACTTTCTTTCTTTTTTTTCTTTATCAAAAAAACATGGTTTAGATCAAGGCGATATCACGCAACTGTGTTGAAAAGGGAGTTTAGATACATACAATACTGTTCACACGACAATGGAGAGGAGAGGAGAAGGGGGGAGGAATATCTTTCATCGATATGCATGATAACGCATAATTAGTTGACTCCAATACATTGACATCAATTGCGATAATGGGCAACAACAAACAAACAACAAAAAAAAAAAAAAAACAACAACAACAACATGCAGTACATGTATATAGTCTACACGGACAAAGAGAAAAGAATGAACCATTTAGTCTACATGTACATATTGAAGACAAAAGAAAAAAAAAAAAAGAGGAACGAAACGTAATGGACGATGAGGACACACATGTCGTTAATTTATTTGGATAGATTAAATGATCCCAATTACAAATACGTTGTTCCTTTTATGGGTGTTGTTCACCCCACAGCGACTGCACTGGTAAGAGTCAGGAGCAGACCGTGTCGATTCTTTGATCGAGGATTTTTTATAAGCAGAAAATCGGTTATTACGATTATTCTTGCTTCTAAGAGGCCCTACAGTGGTAGAGTCCTGTGGAGACTTCTGCTCCTTTTGTGCTCGGAGAGCAGAAGTGGGACCGCTTAGATCGCTAAGAATCTTAACAAAGTCCCTGATGGAGATGAACTTCTTCACCATCCTTCCTTTGAGGGTGTAGAGACGACTCACCATTACGTTGTGTGTCTCCGAGTCTATCGCGGATGTGAGTAAACCAAGTACCATCTCATTGTCATCCTTAATGCCATAAACCCTTACCTCTTTTGAAAATCTTATGGCGAATTGCTGGAAGGTCTCCGTTCTTTTCCGTCCTGTCTCCAGCATCTGTTTCATCTCAGTGGTGCGTTCTTGCTCATTGAGCGAAGTACTCAGGAACAGTATTTCACATTTTTCCCAGGTGAGCTCGTGTGCCTCGTGCTTCTTCATTTCGCGCATGAATAATTCTTTATGATGTTCGCTCACTATAAGGAGCTGGAGGTATCGACTGCACAGCTTCTCAAATCGATCTTTGCCTAGTAGCGCGGAAAGATAGTTTTTTAGTCGATCAAGAAACGTACGGGCATTTGAGTCTTCATAGAAACGCGGCATGTCATCCGTGACCTTGAGGGTGACCTCATTGCTGCCAGAACTGTGGGTTGTTTTGGATGGAGTTGCATAGAGTGCCAACACCTCCCTCTCAGTATCTTGCAACAATGAAATCTTGTACGAAACAGCGTCGAGCTCAGCTTGGGTTTTTTTTTTTTTTTTTTTTTTTTTTTTCCAGAACTTGCTTATTGTTGCTGGGCGCTAAAGGGTCGGCGGAGCGTGCCAACTGACTGGCAATGGCTCTCTTTCTTAACACCAGGGCCTTGTGTTCGGCGAGGAGTTGCAGGAGCAGTTCTTCGTCGCTGAGAGGACTGCTGGGGATGACCTGCTCTTCTTCAAGCAAGTCATCAATATTCATGTCTTGTTCAAGATCGGTCAGAACATAATCATCCTTTCGTTCATTATTCTTGGACGGTATCATGCGGACGGACTGGCCAGAAGTAATGGTGTTTGTATTGGAGGAGAACATGTTTTTTTGTGTGTGTGTGTATGTGTAGTGCTGCGAGAACTGAATGTGGATCGCAGCACCACATTGTCCGAGTATTTATTCATTCATTTTCTACATATAAAATTGATATCCCAATGTAAATTATATTATCCTTTTGTACGTGTACATTTGTACGTGTGATCAGATATGCAATAAGCAACAACTCTCTCCCTCCTCGAGGAGAACGAAGCATGAGTTCGTGGTTCAGGTACAGAGCATATGAGGCTGTGCTGAAAAAGAAAAAAAAAAATGCTGATTGCTTAGAGACCATTATTTCTCCCTCTCTCTTCTCTTTTTTTTTTTTTTTTTTTTTTTTTTAGACCACATGCAGGAAGAGACATTGATGATTGGTTGGAGATCGTGACGCTTCAAGTCACCACTGCAATTCGCAAAATGTTAATTGGTCGAGTAAGATCATGTGGATTAGTAATGTCAGGAACGAATGAGAATGAAGAAAAAGATGTTGATGGATGGATGGATGATTGTGGACATAAATTGTTTGCCATTCAGTTTTCATCCCTCCATTCCTCATTTCACTACTCTCACACTTTTCGACCAAACTTCAAGAGACCTCATATTTTCGTTGACACCTCCCGTATTAATACATTGATGTATTTGCGGATTGAGATTCAAGATGGCCCAACAGGTCGCCTCACCTCACACTCTAAATGGACCACTCTCAATGCTGCTCGAAAATCTCGGATGCTGCTTCATTAATCGGGCGCTGCTCGATTTATGGGGACTTGGATTCGCGCCTTGTGCTTGCTGAGATAGAGTTCTTGCTTATTGCCTAAACTCTGCCTTTCCTCAACCCACCCTGCGTCCATTCTCCAGCGAGCGTACACACCAAGCTTGGCGGGCGCTAGGATGACATACTCTTTCAAATTGTCGTTTCTAGAATCTGGCTAAACTATCTAACGGCAACATCAACGAATCCAAGGCCAACCAAATCGGTCAAAGCTATAGCAAATATAATCCCACGGAGCTAAGTGACATTTATAGAGCAATGATGCCATACTAGCTCCCAATGTAAATACTCTGCGTTCAAAAGCATGTAAAAAGTAAAGTAAGACAAGAAGAAGTCTAGATGAGTTCTATTTATAAATACTGGGATTGTCCATTTGTCTAATTTACGGTATTGATGATCCTTGTTCGTCGTAACTTGAAGGTGATAGTTCGGAGCAATTAACATTTCCACACAGGCAAAGGTCTTACTATTTGGGATCCATAGCGACCCTTGTTTCTTGTCCTTGTAACACCCAAGAGTATTGAACCATTCAACCTTCAGGCTAGCTTCGATATCGATGGTTATTTCAGTATTGTCATCAAAGTTCCTAGCCTTAAAGCAGCGATTATCTTCTGTCGGATAATGGTGAAGAAGACAGCTGATGTAATATAGTGAACCCTTATTTTGTTCAAAGTTTTGAAGTATCTTCAATGGGTTCATGAGCTTGTCAAGGGCTTCATTAACGCGCTCAAGTGCACTGCTTTCTGCTTTTGCTCTCGCTTCATTTTTACAACGATCCTCTGGGGAGTCCACCAATCATCTCATACAGGAGTTCCATAAGATCTTCCGGGACCTTATGAAAGGTTTCAACCTTGTCTCTGCATTATTTCAGCTCATCTAGATCCCACGGTGCCATGTAGTATTTCCATGGGACTTCCTCCTCGATTTCTTGATACAGATTGTTGTCAGAATTAAAAGTTTTTGGAGACACTGAAAAGATAGTCCTGGCAGTCAAGAGCCTTGGTGCTGGTGGGCTGTTGACTAGGAATCAAGTATTAGGTAGCCACAGGAAAGAGGTTTGAAATCCTCTATGATCCCACCGAAAGCATAGCACATTGGGTCTTCCTTTTGCTGGATGATAATAATACGTGGGTCTTCCAGGTACTCCTATTCGAACCATTCGAATCGAATTTCACTGCTATCGAATTCGATTCGTTTTCGAATAGATATCTAAATTCGAACCATTCGATACTCAAACCATTCGATACTCAAACCATTCAAACCATTCGCGTCATTCGGATCACTCGAACTATTCGAATCGATCCAGGATAGGGCTTATTCGAAGCCATTCGAATTCGATTTGTTCGAATCGAATAGGAGCACTGGTCTTCCTCACTGCTAATGGCAAGCATTCGGATGGCAAAGTATACGAGAAAGGATGATTTTCCTATACCGACTGTCCTTGTGAGAACCATTTGGGGGTCTTCGGCCTTTATATCTCTGTCTACACCAAACTTCTTGATGTTCTCATCGTAGAGTTCTTTGAAAGCTGATCTTACGTACAAATCTGGCATCTTGAGCATAGGAAATCTTATCCCCAAAGGGCTGGATATCACGTCGATTTCTTGAAATGATGCGTTTTGGAGAGAGGTGGCCATTTGGGGTATTGAATAGTAGTGGTCTTCCTCTCTCACCATGATGCCAACATTTTTAAGTATTGAAACCAGCTCTTTACTCATAAGGGCACGGAGACGTGGGGCGCCGTTTATTAAACCCTTTTGGGTAAGTCCTGCCGCATTAATTGCCTCCATTAGCTGATCTCGGCCTCTTTTTTTGAGATGATATCCAAGGTCGCCCTCGGTTAAATAGCGTAGCCGAGACACATCTCTCCAATAACAAATAAAAAAACTCAATTGCAACCATACCTTGCTGTGGTGGCTTGACAAAAGCATGGATAGTTTCCTCTGGAAGTTCAGAATTAAATATGTCCCCAAGCTTCTTTGGCGCGGGTGTGAGAGCCTCGTTCGACACGATTTCTGACTCAACGACGCAGTTCAGAATCAGCAGCAGTGAGATGGCGCTTTGTTCGTTGTGGTTGTTGGTTTTCTCTTTTTCGTTTATTGAGTGTGGAGGTATCCTCAGGCTTATTTGTAGTCGTTTTTTTTTTTTTTTTTTTTTTTTTGTGCTTGGCTCCTTGTGGAATCATTTCAAGCCATTCTTTTTTGTACTAGGTTTCTTGTAGTGACCATTGTTAATTAAGATAAGTGAGAAAATGAGAAAGGCAAAAAAAAGGAAGGGAAAAATAATGAATGAAAGCTTGGAAAGAGGAAGAGAGGAAGAAGAAGAAGAAAGGGATGCGACTAAAAAGCAAGTGAGTGCATAAATGAAGTTAAAGAAAGTTGGACCATGCCATTTTCTTGATCATTGCGACGTCAAAGCCAGCCATATCTTTTAGGAAAGAGGGGTTCCCAATAGTTTCGTGTAAAGAAAAGGGGAGCCATGCCACGATAGATATTTAGCCAGGTGCTAGGACGACAATTATATTATAGAAAGAATTTGTCGTCCTAGTACCCGCCAAGCCTGGTGCGTGCACAGATCCTCTCTGCACCGCTAGGTTGGTGATAAGCTTAGAAAAAGTGAGAAAAAAAAAGAGACCAGTGATTTGGGTGTGTGTAGTTATAAACATACCCAGCAGCCACACAGAGAACGACCGTGGAACGAGCAAATTTGCCCCTTTAGCTTTCATCAACTCATGCAGGCCAGGTCCAGTTCCTACAAGAAGAAAACAGCCAGCTATTGGATTCTTGCCACCCATGTGAAGCCACAGTTATGGTGCATAGGAGCAACGTCGGTGTTCCGGCCTCCCGATTTGCATACCAAGGATGACCAATCAGCAGTATAAAACAACTAGCAATAACCAAGCAAAAACAAGCCAGCAAAAATCAATCAATAAAAATCAATCAGTAGAAAAATCATTAGAATCCATTTATCAAGCTTTGTCATCGCGATGCTACCACGGCCATCTTTAAAAGGCCTCCGCCCCTCTGCGCATTTCCCAATTCACCTTCTTCTACCCAGATTAAAGATAAACAAGCGTCTATCTTTATTATTCTCTAGCTCCATCTTGGTTTCTTTATGCTGAGGTATGTTGCCGAGTCAGCCTCCATACTGATCTAAAAAATGTTTTGAAAAAAAAAAAAAAAAAAAACGGTGGGAAGTGCCTTGCGCATATGGCATCTCAAATGTGGCCTAGAAAGTTTAAACTCATCAGGATGGCAGCAAGAACTGTGAGGGGTTTCCGCGTTCGCCTCGCGAAGCGCTCGAGAAAGCAATTATTGGGGAGATCGACTCTCCCTTCACACCTTCACAAGTTTGTAAGTAAAAGGATCTTAGTTTTCATATGCTCGAGCAATGCCATTCTTCTGTCTATGGAAACTTAGACTAACTTCAACTTGTACATGTAACAAATCAAGGGTATGCCACAATATTATATTGAGATACGTTGTGTTCTCCCTTGCCCAAACCCTCCACTTTGGCTTCTTCAATTATTTTCTCATTTTGATTGTTTATTTCTTCGGGATTAGGATTTCCTGGTACCACGTCGACCTCATTGCGGATTGCTCATACCATCCAGAATAAGGTAAGTTGTGTATTGTTCTAAAAAATGAGTGAGAGTTTTCTAGAGTCATTGCCGGCCCCTCTGAATTCTTTCTGCATTTGCTAGAATAGCTATATTGATCCATTCGTAGAGGAGGATGCCTTGTCCAGTCCGTCTATGTGGGCCTTGTCATCAAATTTAAAGGGAAAGCGGGCCGCCACTGGATCTTTACAGACCACAAACAAGGAGAGGAGCAATATGACTTTGTCAAGGGACGAGTATGCCGGCGTTGAAGAGAGTCTGGACAGTACTGAGACCACAGATAAGCATGGTGATGCAAGCGATGTGGCTGTTGTGGACCGACCGAAAATTATCTCAGAAGCATGCTCATTGATACAAAAGGAAAATGGGGTAGAGTACGCGCAGGTGCTGTATTTGGCCCCCACTGATCTGTGAGGTCCTTGATTAAACATCTTTCATTATAGGAACAATAGTGCCCTTCAAATATCAAAACAAAAAATGTGACATTTCGACTATTGCGTTCGCCTAAAAATGGCAAATGGCAAATTTTTGTTTTGATATTTGAAGGGCGCTAATCCGTGTCTCTCCCACCAACCAGAGTGCTACTGAGACACAGCAGGACGTCAAAGTCGGGTATTGCTCCAATTACTGCAAGGCATGGTGGCCATCAACCCCCAGAGCATGATGTCAATGATGGAGCCAGAACACCACCACGTAATGTTCAGGGATACTGTGAGGAGATTCCTCTTGCAAAAGAGTAAGTGGGATCCTCTTTAGATCTTGAGTTTATACGACTGCCGCACAATCTCTAACTCATGGCTTCCGTCTCAATATTTTCATAGCCTTGAGGCTGTTTTTAGACACGTTGGTATCTCCGAAAATTTCCTACTACGTGAGGCTGACCAACGTCTATAAGACGATGCCAGCAAATGGTTCAAGGCAAAGAATTAAGACATCAACTGAACTGACGATAGCTGAGATGAGAACGACACGTTTCCAAGAAGATTGGATTCACGATCTGCTCTACTACAGGTAACGGTCCGTTCTTTGGTATTTATAACGTATTCGACATGTGCGCAGTACGTTATTGATTATTGTTCTTACCGTCATCATCAATAGACTGATACTCCTACGTGCAGGACTCAACCCAAATGTCGACGAAAACACATACACCTCGTTTTGGGTCTCACCTGATTTTTTCGCTCTTCAGACCAGCGTACAAGGTCTCATCAGCTCTGGTTTCGTCAATGAATCCCATTTTGGGCCTTCTGCTTGGCGCCGTTCCCTCGCAAGAGGCACACAGTCGTCGAAAGGTACGAATGTGGATGCGTACTTCATCGGAAGGGATGATTATGTGGACGTAATTTTCGAGAACATCAGTCCCCCTTCCTGTACCAACCATTCAAAACACCATGATGACAAAGAAAAAACATGGCGCAATGCCGTGGATGCCTTACTAGAAAGATACTACAATTCGTCCGGTTCCTTCGAAATTGCCAAGGGCTACAAGATCGTATGCGTCATTGTGTTTGGTAAGTTATCTTGATACTGTTGCATTTGGATCTTGCGCTTGGCATCGACTAACATATAGTTTGATGATGCGCCTACTCTATTCCAGGTTATGATATCTCGATCTACACCGTCAGCATATTGGACAGGAACGAGTATCTAGTGCAGAAGGTATTCCAGGACAAGTGTCATGTCCGTCGAGATGTATATCTTTCCAAGTTACTTGTGCATTTGAAGATTTGTCTTGCAATTAAGGTATGTTTATTGTTTACCGCTCTCACTCACACTATCTTTGTTACATTGTTTCTGATCCTGAACTTTGTGACCTACAGCACAGACTATTATGGAGGACAACTGGGATGTCTGTGTCGAGTTTGACAATTCCATCGAGTCTACTGTGAAGGAAGAACAAGGACATTTTAACATGAAAATTCATACCACTTCTATGAAGGCTCAAATCTCGCCTACGAAGAACAGAAGATTACCAATATAAGTCGAGGCTCTGCATCAATACCGCAAGGTCTTCAGCATGAAGAAGGAACTAGAGTCTTGTATCAGTAGTTATATCAACTTGTCATCAAATAAACTGATTGCTCGCATGGATTAACGTGACTCTGAGACCTTGATGGTGCCACGAAATGCATGAAAAGATTGCTATCACGATCCAGTTAGATACCCTTAAGATACAAGAGTTGTTGGCAGTTCCGTGGTTGTGCATTTGACTTTGTTCTTTATCGCCTTTTGTTCATACTTGCCCCTGATTATCCACAGAATTGGCACTGAGTGTTCATACGCCATTATAGTCTTATTAATTTAGGGCTATCACTTTGGATGGATTTCTTATCCATCGAACCCTCCCTTATTGCTCCTGTAACACTTGTTCGTAGTACGTGGGATTACTGGCGCCATGTCAAGCCACACAGACAGACGTTTTCTTAATGCGAGCAACGCTTGTATTCAAAATGTGGCTGGATTGAGTGAAACCAGCAGGAAGCTTTTAGAGCAACATGGAACCATAGCCAAGCAATCTCCGTCTTTAGTCAAACATGAGGAGTCCAAACAGATTCTGACGGCATCATCAGTGGCATTCAAGCCTAGAGCAGCCCTCAGTCAGGTGGATTGCTGTCAAAATTCATCAACAGAGGCGCTCTTAGGGACAGTAGTTTTGAGTGAGGGGCTACCATCGGTAGCAGTGATAAGGTCAATTAGATCGACCAAAGACTACCAGTTCAAATACAGAGGTGGCGTGCAATAAGTGAAGAGAGAGATGACCAAGAGAGGCAGGTAAAGAAGTTTGAGAGAAGCGGAAGAGAAGTGACCAAGTAAGACCAAGAGGTGAAGAAAGAAGCGATAAAGTCCATTCAGCTTTACAGAACATTATTGCAGCGGATCCACTTCTTGGTCCAAAGCCTCATGAAACAAAAACAAAAATACATAAAGGACTATTTTCTTTTTCTACAATCAATGCAATGAGACAGGAGTGAACAAATGGCAATTGCATGCTAATTAAACATTTAGCGATGATGGTGAAGAAGATTCAGGAAGGTTAGACCTGAGTTTAGTGCTTTGATTTCTTTTGCCACCAATGTTAGACGAGAAGTGGATAGGCAACTTGGTATGTAATTTTTTTTTTTTTTTTTTCTTTTTCATCCGCAGTCAATTGTTGTGAGTTGTAATCAAAAATGGCTTGACGGTGTGAAATATCTAATAAACATGGTGCAATGCTGCGATACTGTCTACCTTTTCTATCGCAATCCTAATAATCCTAACAATCCTGACAATCCCGACCACCCTGACAATCCTGACAATCCTGACAATCCTGACAATGCAGTTCCTCAAAGCAGTAAGACAGGCAAGACAATGTGTTTCTCGGGATAGCTTTGTTTAAGGTTGCGACTACGCACATCTACATCTCTGCGTCATAGTGCAGTAAAATATATTCACCCCACTCCGCCCACTCTCTGCTCTCTTTGTTGTCTTGCAATCTTACCAAAACAAGCAAACAAACAAACTCTGTTGGTATGAGAGCACAGACCACGCAGCAAAGAGCTGCAAACGAAAATAAAAATAAAAAGAGCCAGGATGCTGTTGATTGTCAAAGGCAGATGGGATTGTAGCCAGATGGATGCTTGTTGGATATTTCAGAGGATGAAGAGAAATTAAATGGGTTTTCATTCAATAGCATTAGAGGGGAAATGGGACTGCACTTTGTTGAAAAAAGATGAAAAAACCTCCAAATTGCGAAGCGCTTTTCATACGGAAAAAAGGTCCCACAATCGATCGACCATGTCAAAGGTTGGTGACAGATGAAAGAAAGCAAGCCACTAGGTCCTGACAACGTATAAAAAGGCCTCTCTTTCCTTTCTCTTTTGAATCTGTAACGGTGTAACGGCCTCCAAAGCGTTGAGTTAGTGCGCTCGAGAGTACTAGCCAATGTCCAACGGACTCCATTTGCAGCCTGCAGGACGCTGTAGGTTGGATGGCGGGTTGGGCCCTGCGACGGGCGTGTCGGTAGACTGCTCTAGGGTTTATGGACCGGGGGGCGCGCAACCAGACCACCTCCACGTGGTGCGCCCTGGGCTGTCTGCTTCGCGGCAGACAGGCGAAGAGTCTGGTGTCTTTTTGTTATTTATTTATGCACAACTACCCATCAACACTCTACTGCCCATTATGGGTGTCAAAATGGAAATAAAAAAAAGATCTTTCTGGCATCGTCATGTTTATATGGCAATGGTGACTTCATAATGAGAAAGCCGCAGCTTTTATTGTCCTTTCTCTAGAGTCCAAGTCTTTGTCGCAAGGCCAGCATGGGATCTCCTTTTTCTGCCCACTTTCTTAGACCTGCAGAACTGTGTATCGAGCTCGTTGTCTTGTCTCGTTTGTCTTGTCTCGTTTGTCTTGTCTCGTTTGTCTTGTCTTGGCAAGTGCGCCACCAAATTGAAACATCTGCACTCATCAATAACATCTTCAGCCTTGTTCAGGCGATTTTTTCTTAAAGTCATTGAATGGGCGCCCCCATTTCAACAATGCCATCGCAACATGCATCTTCAGCCATTGACCATTTCTGAATTAGTCCAATTACCTGAAAACATGAGCATTCTTGTTGACGAAAAATATTACAGAAATTGTCAACGTGTCTGTAAGGTTTTCCACATTGCTTTGCCATGGCTCTTATCATTATAGTCTTTGATCAAGTACCACGTATCATACCATCTCGACGAATGCCTACCATTGCCAGGGTGTGGCTCTTCAGATCATACAGACCATAGCACTGTCGAGTTTGTTCATCTGACTTACTCATCTAACCAAGTTCCATAGCCCCATACGACAGACTGAATGTTCCTTCAATGACCGAGACTCATAGTTACCCTTGGGATTGGAGCTTTGGAGAGTCCCTATATTATCACCTTGCGTGCGATAAATAAAACTGGTCTGTACTTGCTGCTTTGTATCAGTTTGAAGTAAATGTCTTTGAGCGACACAAGTATCTTTACTCTATTCTGCATATGGCCAAAGACCGTATCACTTCGCAGGCCTCTTAATCCTTAATCAACGGCGCTTGTTGGGGGATACTAGCTCGAAAGTGTCTAAAGTTGCAGAGCTTACATCCCAATCCTCATAGCTGCAGGGCCAACGGTGAAGACGACAGGGCAGTATCTACAGAATGGAGCTCCTTCAATATTCATGTGCATTTCCGTGTCTGAAGGGTTTAAATTTGAAGGGCGTCTTATCAAGCAGTGAAGAGATGGCAGTTATCCTGGGACACACAAAATCGTGGACGATGTTAGGATTAAGCAGGACTTTCTCAGCTTGATTAGATAAACTATCAGAACCGAAAGACCTAGAACATCTAAAAATCCAGCCATGATCGTCGTGGAGCGGAAGGACTTGAAGAAGCGATATGGATTGTAGAGCAATGGCTTAGGATCAACGAACCGAGACCACATAGAAATTCTGCTTGGTAAAAGAATGTGGTGTCTTCGGTAAGAGAAAAAAAAAAAAAAAACTACAATAGAATAAAAAATAGATGCATTTATTGAGCATATCGTGGTCTTTAGTAACCGTCGAGTTTTGGAGGGAAACTGTGTTTGCTCTCCTATAGTCTCTCATGAAGCCCAAGCACGCGATCGCTTAAGTTTTGGGTTATGAATAGCTGAATGGATGTATATAAAACTACTTTGCGTCCGATTCAGATATCTGACAGACAACTTGAGACGAAAGATCAAGAAATGCCTCTCAAGAATGTCTTCAAGATGTCGCCCACGAAGCAACTGCCGCAGTGAAAGGCTTCTGCAAAAGGATCTAGTCTTGAGAGACACACATGAAGCTTTGGAAGGCATATATTTTCTCACTCTTGTCATGCGGTGGCGAAGATTTTAAGAAAAAGGATGCATATGTTACTCAAAAGAGAAATGAGGGAGCCTTGCATTCTGTCCTCATCCATCCAAGTACCACCGACATGGCGGAACATCAATACCAACAATTTCGAAGGGCTGGCATTATTGAGAGAGTTTGTGTCAGAATTGCTTCTACCTTTGCAAACAATGGCAGCTCGTCCTGCCATGTGAGTCTGCAAGACATTCGAGACGTGTTTCCAGATGCACAACGATTCAAACTGGAAGGACTTCCCATTCCATTCCTCATAGACCCTAATGGGAACAGGTGTGTTACTGATTATGGAGCGCTTTAACAATTATCTTTGGAATATAAACGAAAAAACTCAATCTAGCATATTCTGTCTTCTTATCAGAGTCGAGCCACCATGCATTGCATTCTATCCTTACAAGATTCTGGATGTCATTACAGAAGCGCCGCAGTTAGGAAACAGCAATAGCAGCAGCAGCAGCACTGAAGCTAGCAGTACCAACGTCAGCAGCACCAACACCAACACCAACACCAACACCAACACCAACACCAACACCAACACCAACACCAACGCCAACACCAACACCAGCACAAATACCAACACCGACAATACCAACTGCAGCTGCATTAGCAACAGCAATCACAGCACCGCCATCCACTTGCCTACATTGAGAAAGTCAGCAAAGTATGGGCGGGATACTCCTTCACCATTATCAAACTTGATTCAATCTTTCAATTCACTCCTTACTACTCGCAACAATGCACATATCGAGGCGGTCAACTTTAACCTTGTGAAGGTTGCGGATTTGCTCTTGGAGGCCGAAGAGAAGGACGACAAGGTGGCTAATATGCTTTTGGAAACCAAAGAAAAGGACAGCGAGCTGTTTGAACTGAAAGATAAGGTGCTTAGTCTGGTATTGGAAACCAAAGAGAAGGACAGCGAGATGTTTAAACTACAAGAGAAGATGCTTAAACTGCAAGAGGAGATGCTTAAACTGCAAGAGGAGATGCTTAAACTGCAAGAGGAGATGCTTAAACTGCAATTGGAAGCTACGGAGAAGAATGAAGAAATGCAGCATCAAAGCCTCAACAAACTTGCCCTGCTTCTACAGCATGTTGATGCTATTCTCACCCAGAATACCGGACTTCACGAATATCTATTTCCCCGACTATTTATCATTTTACCTGTCGACCACACCAAGTGGGACCCAATGAATGTCTTGAAGAACAAGTTCCGTGTTCATTTCCTATGTGAATGTGGAGACCACGCTACAATGGCAAGCAAGAGTAGTCAGAGTCAACTCCATATTGTCAATCATGATGGGTACGAGATCCGAGACAGCGCGGGATTCTTCCGCAAGTATGGAAAGTACATGTTCATCCTCTTACAGTGGTTCAAGCTAGGAATGTCTTCGTCTGCATCTCTGGCACTATCCCCAGATTCGATAGATGCCGGTATCGATTGTTCAATCGACTATATGGAAGCACTCTCTAAAGAGGACCCAGCTTTGAGCAACATTGCTACAATCGATGACTATGATGGACCGAAAGGATCTGATTTTCAAAATGTGAGGACATTCCTTCGAATCAATGATGAAGGCAGGAAATTCGGGGATTTGTACAGGATCATGACCGAAACAGGCCGGGTCAAATGGGTTTGTCTCGAACACTGTCGCTCGATGTATGAAGAAAAAGGACAGAAGGCATTTATAAATGCAGTGAAAGTGAATAATGGCGAATATAACTGGCATCTTGGTAAAGTAACTATCACATTGGGGTACAGAGAGGGAGCTAAAGAGCTCTTCGATGCACTAACCAGTTCAAGACGAGTTTACGAGTTGGATATCACATTTGGCTGGGATTGGACGGAGATTGATCTTGAAGCATTTGAGAATGCTTTGGCAGTGTCGAGTGTATCGAATCTTCGACTTGGCCTTGTACCGACCGACATAAAAGTATCCACAACGTCTGCGCGATATGAAAGCCTTATTCGCATTATAGAGCTCAGTAATATGAAAACAATCCATATTACTCTAACTCAGGACCACATAAAGCTTCTCAGTTTACGGCCCAGAAGATCGTCATGTCTTCAAAAGCTGACGTATGAGGTGAAGGCTCAATGGATTGGAGTCATTGAATTACAAGGACTTGTAAATTCACTCAAGACTGGCGCGCCATTGACGATTTTGAACTTGCGTGACGGCTCAATCAAGGATGAAGGGGCTCTGGCACTGTCAGAGGTACTCAAGGTTAATACTAGTTTGACGACTTTGGACTTGGGTTACAACTCAGTTGGGGATGTAGGGGCTCAGGCATTGTCAGAGGCACTCAAGGCTAATGCAACACTAGCAACTTTGGACTTGTGGGACAACTCGATCGAAAAGGAAGGAGCTCTGGCATTGTCAGAGGCACTCAAGGTTAATACTAGTTTGGCGACTTTGAACTTGGGTTACAACTCAATTGGGGATGAAGGAGCTCTGGCATTGTCAGAGGCACTCAAGGCTAATGCAACACTAACAACTTTGGACTTGTGGGACAACTCGATCGAAAAGGAAGGCGCTCAGGCATTGTCAGAGACGCTCGAAGTCAATGCAACTTTAACGACCTTGACCTTGGGCAACAACAGAATTCGAAAGGAAGGAGCTCTGGCATTGTCAGAGGCACTCAAGGTTAATACTAATTTGTCGACTTTGGCCTTGGATGGCACCTCGATTGGAAAGGAAGAAGCTCTGGCATTGTCAGAGGCACTCAAGGCTAATGCAACACTAACAACTTTGGACTTGTGGGACAACTCGATCGAAAAGGAAGGCGCTCAGGCATTGTCAGAGACGCTCGAAGTCAATGCAACTTTAACGACCTTGACCTTGGGCAACAACAGAATTCGAAAGGAAGGAGCTCTGGCATTGTCAGAGGCACTCAAGGTTAATACTAGTTTGACGACATTGGCCTTGTGGTACAACTCAATTGGGGATGAAGGAGCTCTGGCATTGTCAGAGGCGCTCAAGATTAACACTAGTTTGACGACATTGGACTTGGGCAACAATGGAATTCGAAAGGAAGGAGCTCTGGCATTGTCAGAGGCACTCAAGATTAATACTAGTTTGGCGACTTTGAACTTGCGTAGCAACTCAATTGTGGATGAAGGAGCTCTGGCATTGTCAGAGGCGCTCAAGATTAACACTAGTTTGACGACATTGGACTTGGAGCCCAACTCAATTGGACAATTTCAGAAGCACTCAAGGAAAACGCAGTTTTAACTCAATAAATAAGAGCGTCTTAAGCGTCAAATAAGGGACACTGATGCTGTTAGGCACACCCAGGACTGACTGACCGACTTTGGATCTTTTTTTGGGATACTTGATTGGTTGATGGTTGAAATAGCTCTAGAATAGTTAAAGAAAATAGTTTGGTTTAAATAAAAGGCTTGCTTGTAGCGGCCAAGCGGCCATGACAGCGTTGGCTTTTAATCCTTTGATGTCAGCTCTTCCCCTTTGAAAGCTCATTCCTTATAATGACAGCACATCAATATCAGTTCAGTGGAAGATTCGTACAAAGCTTTCTCCAATGTTAAGCTACGTAGAGCATAGTTACAAAATGTAAAGACGGTAAATTGTTCTCCCTTAGAACAGGGACTTCAATCAAGTCAGTTGAGGGAGCCCAAAGAAAAGATTGTCGCTTGGCTGCTACAAGCAAGGTTTTTATTTAAACCAAACTATTTTCTTTAACTATTCTAGAGCTATTTCAACCATCAATCAACCAAGTATCCCAAAAGTCGGCCAGGCAGTCCTGAGTATGTCCAACAGCATCAGTGTCCCTTATTTGACGCTTAAGACGCTCTTATTTATTGAGTAAAAATTGCGTTTTCCTTGAGTGCTTCTGAAATTGCCAGATCTGCTTCCCCAATTAAGTTGTACCACAAGGCCAATGTCGTCAAACTAGTGTTAACCTTGAGTGCCTCTGACAATGCCTGAGCTCCTTCCTTTTGAATTCTGTTGTTGCTCAAGCTCAATGTCGTCAAACTAGTGTTAACCTTGAGTGCCTCTGACAATGCCTGAGCTCCTTCATCCCCAATTGAGTTGTACCACAAGGCCAATGTCGTCAAACTAGTGTTAACCTTGAGTGCCTCTGACAATGCCAGAGCTCCTTCCTTTCCAATCGAGTTGCCACCCAAGGTCAAATCTGTTAAAGTTGCATTGGCCTTGAGCGCCTCTGACAATGCCAGAGCTCCTTCATCCCCAATTGAGTTGCTACGCAAGTTCAAAGTCGTCAAACTGGTATTAACCTTGAGTGCCTCTGACAATACCAGAGCTCCTTCCTTTTGAATTCTGTTGTTGCCCAACTCCAATGTCGTCAAACTAGTGTTAATCTTGAGTGCCTTTGCCAATGCCAGAGCTCCCTCATCCCCAATTGAGTTGTACCACAAGTCCAATGTCGTCAAAGTAGTGTTAACTTTGAGTGCCTCTGACAATGCCAGAGCTTCTTCCTTTTCGATCGAGCTGTGGCACAAGTTCAAAGTCGTTAATGTTGCATTAGCCTTGAGTGCCTCTGACAATGCCTGAGCTCCTTCCTTTCCGATCGAGCTCTCATTCAAGTCCAATGTTGTCAAACTAGTGTTAACCTTGAGTGCTTCTGACAATGCCAGAGCTTCTTCCTTTTCGATCGAGTTGTGACACAAGATCAAAGTCGTTAATGTTGCATTAGCCTTGAGTGCCTCTGACAATGCCTGAGCTCCTTCCTTTTGAATTCTGTTGTTGCTCAAGTCCAATGTCGTCAAACTAGTGTTAACCTTGAGTGCCTCTGACAATGCCAGAGCTTCTTCCTTTCCAATCGAGGTGCCATCCAAGGCCAAAGTCGACAAATTAGTATTAACCTTGAGTGCCTCTGACAATGCCAGAGCTCCTTCCTTTCGAATTCTGTTGTTGCCCAAGGTCAAGGTCGTTAAAGTTGCATTGACTTCGAGCGTCTCTGACAATGCCTGAGCGCCTTCCTTTTCGATCGAGTTGTCCCACAAGTCCAAAGTTGTTAGTGTTGCATTAGCCTTGAGTGCCTCTGACAATGCCAGAGCTCCTTCATCCCCAATTGAGTTGTAACCCAAGTTCAAAGTCGCCAAACTAGTATTAACCTTGAGTGCCTCTGACAATGCCAGAGCTCCTTCCTTTTCGATCGAGTTGTCCCACAAGTCCAAAGTTGCTAGTGTTGCATTAGCCTTGAGTGCCTCTGACAATGCCTGAGCCCCTACATCCCCAACTGAGTTGTAACCCAAGTCCAAAGTCGTCAAACTAGTATTAACCTTGAGTACCTCTGACAGTGCCAGAGCCCCTTCATCCTTGATTGAGCCGTCACGCAAGTTCAAAATCGTCAATGGCGCGCCAGTCTTGAGTGAATTTACAAGTCCTTGTAATTCAATGACTCCAATCCATTGAGCCTTCACCTCATACGTCAGCTTTTGAAGACATGACGATCTTCTGGGCCGTAAACTGAGAAGCTTTATGTGGTCCTGAGTTAGAGTAATATGGATTGTTTTCATATTACTGAGCTCTATAATGCGAATAAGGCTTTCATATCGCGCAGACGTTGTGGATACTTTTATGTCGGTCGGTACAAGGCCAAGTCGAAGATTCGATACACTCGACACTGCCAAAGCATTCTCAAATGCTTCAAGATCAATCTCCGTCCAATCCCAGCCAAATGTGATATCCAACTCGTAAACTCGTCTTGAACTGGTTAGTGCATCGAAGAGCTCTTTAGCTCCCTCTCTGTACCCCAATGTGATAGTTACTTTACCAAGATGCCAGTTATATTCGCCATTATTCACTTTCACTGCATTTATAAATGCCTTCTGTCCTTTTTCTTCATACATCGAGCGACAGTGTTCGAGACAAACCCATTTGACCCGGCCTGTTTCGGTCATGATCCTGTACAAATCCCCGAATTTCCTGCCTTCATCATTGATTCGAAGGAATGTCCTCACATTTTGAAAATCAGATCCTTTCGGTCCATCATAGTCATCGATTGTAGCAATGTTGCTCAAAGCTGGGTCCTCTTTAGAGAGTGCTTCCATATAGTCGATTGAACAATCGATACCGGCATCTATCGAATCTGGGGATAGTGCCAGAGATGCAGACGAAGACATTCCTAGCTTGAACCACTGTAAGAGGATGAACATGTACTTTCCATACTTGCGGAAGAATCCCGCGCTGTCTCGGATCTCGTACCCATCATGATTGACAATATGGAGTTGACTCTGACTACTCTTGCTTGCCATTGTAGCGTGGTCTCCACATTCACATAGGAAATGAACACGGAACTTGTTCTTCAAGACATTCATTGGGTCCCACTTGGTGTGGTCGACAGGTAAAATGATAAATAGTCGGGGAAATAGATATTCGTGAAGTCCGGTATTCTGGGTGAGAATAGCATCAACATGCTGTAGAAGCAGGGCAAGTTTGTTGAGGCTTTGATGCTGCATTTCTTCATTCTTCTCCGTAGCTTCCAATTGCAGTTTAAGCATCTCCTCTTGCAGTTTAAGCATCTCCTCTTGCAGTTTAAGCATCTCCTCTTGCAGTTTAAGCATCTTCTCTTGTAGTTTAAACATCTCGCTGTCCTTCTCTTTGGTTTCCAATACCAGACTAAGCACCTTATCTTTCAGTTCAAACAGCTCGCTGTCCTTTTCTTTGGTTTCCAAAAGCATATTAGCCACCTTGTCGTCCTTCTCTTCGGCCTCCAAGAGCAAATCCGCAACCTTCACAAGGTTAAAGTTGACCGCCTCGATATGTGCATTGTTGCGAGTAGTAAGGAGTGAATTGAAAGATTGAATCAAGTTTGATAATGGTGAAGGAGTATCCCGCCCATACTTTGCTGACTTTCTCAATGTAGGCAAGTGGATGGCGGTGCTGTGATTGCTGTTGCTAATGCAGCTGCAGTTGGTATTGTCGGTGTTGGTATTTGTGCTGGTGTTGGTGTTGGCGTTGGTGTTGGTGTTGGTGTTGGTGTTGGTGTTGGTGTTGGTGTTGGTGTTGGTGTTGGTGCTGCTGACGTTGGTACTGCTAGCTTCAGTGCTGCTGCTGCTGCTATTGCTGTTTCCTAACTGCGGCGCTTCTGTAATGACATCCAGAATCTTGTAAGGATAGAATGCAATGCATGGTGGCTCGACTCTGATAAGAAGACAGAATATGCTAGATTGAGTTTTTTCGTTTATATTCCAAAGATAATTGTTAAAGCGCTCCATAATCAGTAACACACCTGTTCCCATTAGGGTCTATGAGGAATGGAATGGGAAGTCCTTCCAGTTTGAATCGTTGTGCATCTGGAAACACGTCTCGAATGTCTTGCAGACTCACATGGCAGGACGAGCTGCCATTGTTTGCAAAGGTAGAAGCAATTCTGACACAAACTCTCTCAATAATGCCAGCCCTTCGAAATTGTTGGTATTGATGTTCCGCCATGTCGGTGGTACTTGGATGGATGAGGACAGAATGCAAGGCTCCCTCATTTCTCTTTTGAGTAACATATGCATCCTTTTTCTTAAAATCTTCGCCACCGCATGACAAGAGTGAGAAAATATATGCCTTCCAAAGCTTCATGTGTGTCTCTCAAGACTAGATCCTTTTGCAGAAGCCTTTCACTGCGGCAGTTGCTTCGTGGGCGACATCTTGAAGACATTCTTGAGAGGCATTTCTTGATCTTTCGTCTCAAGTTGTCTGTCAGATATCTGAATCGGACGCAAAGTAGTTTTATATACATCCATTCAGCTATTCATAACCCAAAACTTAAGCGATCGCGTGCTTGGGCTTCATGAGAGACTATAGGAGAGCAAACACAGTTTCCCTCCAAAACTCGACGGTTACTAAAGACCACGATATGCTCAATAAATGCATCTATTTTTTATTCTATTGTAGTTTTTTTTTTTTTTTTCTCTTACCGAAGACACCACATTCTTTTACCAAGCAGAATTTCTATGTGGTCTCGGTTCGTTGATCCTAAGCCATTGCTCTACAATCCATATCGCTTCTTCAAGTCCTTCCGCTCCACGACGATCATGGCTGGATTTTTAGATGTTCTAGGTCTTTCGGTTCTGATAGTTTATCTAATCAAGCTGAGAAAGTCCTGCTTAATCCTAACATCGTCCACGATTTTGTGTGTCCCAGGATAACTGCCATCTCTTCACTGCTTGATAAGACGCCCTTCAAATTTAAACCCTTCAGACACGGAAATGCACATGAATATTGAAGGAGCTCCATTCTGTAGATACTGCCCTGTCGTCTTCACCGTTGGCCCTGCAGCTATGAGGATTGGGATGTAAGCTCTGCAACTTTAGACACTTTCGAGCTAGTATCCCCCAACAAGCGCCGTTGATTAAGGATTAAGAGGCCTGCGAAGTGATACGGTCTTTGGCCATATGCAGAATAGAGTAAAGATACTTGTGTCGCTCAAAGACATTTACTTCAAACTGATACAAAGCAGCAAGTACAGACCAGTTTTATTTATCGCACGCAAGGTGATAATATAGGGACTCTCCAAAGCTCCAATCCCAAGGGTAACTATGAGTCTCGGTCATTGAAGGAACATTCAGTCTGTCGTATGGGGCTATGGAACTTGGTTAGATGAGTAAGTCAGATGAACAAACTCGACAGTGCTATGGTCTGTATGATCTGAAGAGCCACACCCTGGCAATGGTAGGCATTCGTCGAGATGGTATGATACGTGGTACTTGATCAAAGACTATAATGATAAGAGCCATGGCAAAGCAATGTGGAAAACCTTACAGACACGTTGACAATTTCTGTAATATTTTTCGTCAACAAGAATGCTCATGTTTTCAGGTAATTGGACTAATTCAGAAATGGTCAATGGCTGAAGATGCATGTTGCGATGGCATTGTTGAAATGGGGGCGCCCATTCAATGACTTTAAGAAAAAATCGCCTGAACAAGGCTGAAGATGTTATTGATGAGTGCAGATGTTTCAATTTGGTGGCGCACTTGCCAAGACAAGACAAACGAGACAAGACAAACGAGACAAGACAAACGAGACAAGACAACGAGCTCGATACACAGTTCTGCAGGTCTAAGAAAGTGGGCAGAAAAAGGAGATCCCATGCTGGCCTTGCGACAAAGACTTGGACTCTAGAGAAAGGACAATAAAAGCTGCGGCTTTCTCATTATGAAGTCACCATTGCCATATAAACATGACGATGCCAGAAAGATCTTTTTTTTATTTCCATTTTGACACCCATAATGGGCAGTAGAGTGTTGATGGGTAGTTGTGCATAAATAAATAACAAAAAGACACCAGACTCTTCGCCTGTCTGCCGCGAAGCAGACAGCCCAGGGCGCACCACGTGGAGGTGGTCTGGTTGCGCGCCCCCCGGTCCATAAACCCTAGAGCAGTCTACCGACACGCCCGTCGCAGGGCCCAACCCGCCATCCAACCTACAGCGTCCTGCAGGCTGCAAATGGAGTCCGTTGGACATTGGCTAGTACTCTCGAGCGCACTAACTCAACGCTTTGGAGGCCGTTACACCGTTACAGATTCAAAAGAGAAAGGAAAGAGAGGCCTTTTTATACGTTGTCAGGACCTAGTGGCTTGCTTTCTTTCATCTGTCACCAACCTTTGACATGGTCGATCGATTGTGGGACCTTTTTTCCGTATGAAAAGCGCTTCGCAATTTGGAGGTTTTTTCATCTTTTTTCAACAAAGTGCAGTCCCATTTCCCCTCTAATGCTATTGAATGAAAACCCATTTAATTTCTCTTCATCCTCTGAAATATCCAACAAGCATCCATCTGGCTACAATCCCATCTGCCTTTGACAATCAACAGCATCCTGGCTCTTTTTATTTTTATTTTCGTTTGCAGCTCTTTGCTGCGTGGTCTGTGCTCTCATACCAACAGAGTTTGTTTGTTTGCTTGTTTTGGTAAGATTGCAAGACAACAAAGAGAGCAGAGAGTGGGCGGAGTGGGGTGAATATATTTTACTGCACTATGACGCAGAGATGTAGATGTGCGTAGTCGCAACCTTAAACAAAGCTATCCCGAGAAACACATTGTCTTGCCTGTCTTACTGCTTTGAGGAACTGCATTGTCAGGATTGTCAGGATTGTCAGGATTGTCAGGGTGGTCGGGATTGTCAGGATTGTTAGGATTATTAGGATTGCGATAGAAAAGGTAGACAGTATCGCAGCATTGCACCATGTTTATTAGATATTTCACACCGTCAAGCCATTTTTGATTACAACTCACAACAATTGACTGCGGATGAAAAAGAAAAAAAAAAAAAAAAAATTACATACCAAGTTGCCTATCCACTTCTCGTCTAACATTGGTGGCAAAAGAAATCAAAGCACTAAACTCAGGTCTAATCTTCCTGAACCTTCTTCACCATCATCGCTAAATGTTTAATTAGCATGCAATTGCCATTTGTTCACTCCTGTCTCATTGCATTGATTGTAGAAAAAGAAAATAGTCCTTTATGTATTTTTGTTTTTGTTTCATGAGGCTTTGGACCAAGAAGTGGATCCGCTGCAATAATGTTCTGTAAAGCTGAATGGACTTTATCGCTTCTTTCTTCACCTCTTGGTCTTACTTGGTCACTTCTCTTCCGCTTCTCTCTCGCTTCTCTCTCGCTTCTCTCTCGCTTCTCTCTCGCTTCTTGATCTGTCTCTCTTAACCACCTCTCTCTTCACTTCTTGCACGCCGCCTCTCTACAACCAATCCGCGACGAGTCCCAGTAAGACATCTCCGCTGCCAAAGTAATGCCGCCATAAGTTCGTATACTATATATTTATAATTGGAAGACCTTACTACCAATGCCAGAACTAAACATCAAAGTGTCCATGGATCCTGCAGTTATCTCCCATATCTTTGTTCATATCCCTCACTTTTAGCACAGAGGGTGAGCGCTAGAAAAAACACAGCCTACTGAAGCTGCTACGTCAAAGCAGCAGCATGAGCTGATTAGTATCGTAATTCCTTTTATGTATCGTCCAAAGGATGATTACCTGCACGGGATATTTAATGCGATGGAAGTAAACGAAAAATCACCAGCTCAGCTCCTATTAGATGTGTTCAATTCGGATAATCAGACCATTGAAGAAGTATTCAGAGCTTTTACAAAAACAAAGGCCTGCCTCCATAGTCAGGATCTGGGCCTTGCGATTAAAACCCGAAGGGGCTTACAATGGATATGGCGATTTCTCTGAGGCCGGAAAGATATTGTTGTTGAGGATGCAAAAAGCGAGCTCAAGGAGCTTACTTGAGTCGACGACCTGAGGCTCCCAACCAACAATCTGTTCCCCACAGTGGTTCAGAAAATATCATTAAGTTACTGCTAAACCCTCCACTCCAACCCCTCTATCAGCCTACTTTGGACCACAGCCTCCTCCACAATAAGGGGTAAAGCCCATAAATATCACGCTATTGCTAACATAGATCCTGTACATTAATTGCCCAATTGTTCGGGCAGAGTTGCGGCCAAAATGTAGATATTTGGAGCTTGAATTCTCCCCTTTAGATATACAGATATCGGTAGTAGACGCTGAGGAGCCAAGCGTTGGCTCTCAATAAACCCCTCTTCTTTATCCATCTAAAGACTGAAATGGCCATAACCCTGTGCTTGCTCTTCATAGCTGTTTATTTTAGCAGTTGTCTTGCTTAAATTAACCGCAACATGAAATGTCTATTGAAGACGTAAAAAAAGTAACGAGAGGTCATTGTGACGTTATCAGACCTTTATTTAAGTTGCTTACTCTCATGTTCCTGTCTTCTGTTTTCAACGACCTTCTCAGAACCAAAATTTGATTGCAGCATTGCAATTACATGACTCGTATCTGCATTCCGTGCAATAGTGGCAACCATGACAAACAGCCCTTAAATACAAGGTCTGTTTTTATTTGTTTTACCTTTTTATGAATATTATTATTTTTTATTAACCCTCCATCGCTGTTGCTGATAGCGGGCCTAAACGAGGACATGTGGCATTTGTGATCGCTCAGGACACAACTGAAGCACATGTCCAGGCAATGAAGGGTGAGTTCCATATTCAATATTTCAATTGTGTCATCATCGCTAATACATTTTTATTAATCCTAAACTTTTATTCTCTGTTGCAATGGCATAGTTAGTGTCCCCTGTAAGCGAATCGAGCCTATGGCGGTCTGCAGGCGGAGTGTTAACCTTGGCCGCCTTGGTGAAAGTGAAAGACCTGTGTGAAGGCGAAGGTAAACTAATCTTTTGTTTACATTCTATTATACTTTCAATCTTTGTGGTGTGATTGTATATATTTATTTAGGGTCTGTCAAAGACAGATAATAGGATTGCAAGGTACGGTAAGTGTGGCAGGAACTTGGATAAAGGTATATGGGTAGTTTTTATTACAGGCTGAGGTTTTCTGTATTAAATGGCGATGGCGTTTGTACTTCTACGTCCTTGAGCTGAATTGCACACATATTATATTAACTATTGATAACTACCAGTATACAGGGTTGCCAATAAACACCTAAGCACCTCAGCATTGCCTTTAAGATTACGATCACCCATAAGTATGGTAAAATGCGCTGTCCTCGTAACAGAAGCCCTAGAGGGACGATCGACCAAAGCAATGATGGGGTTTCTAAACCTATTTTTGCTAGTGTTCATTTAAATAAAGCCTTGTGTTAGGAGACCCTTACGAGGGTCTGTTATACAGTTCAATGTTATCAAGCATGTCACTGACTCTTGATCCTTGTATATAAAGCCCTATTGCTTATCTTCTGCTTTGTAGACATGATGGCTTGTTCGGTAGATGATAAGTAAGAGGAAGTGTATATATGTATATATATATATATACTATAGCTGAATTTTTCAAGCAGTATTGGTTAGTTCAGAAAGTGACATTGTCTTCGACCGGTGGAAGCGGAGAATGGTTTATCTCGTATATAAAATAAAAGAGAGCAAAAAGGAGGATTCATTGTCTACATTTACACCACCAATAGAAGCAAGGGACGACATACCTTTCTGGCTCATGATTCCCGCGCGGTGTTTTTTTTTTTTTTTTTTTTTTGTTAAATGTAAACAACATTATGGCTAGCCATTTACTCGGAGATCTCCTTCCTAAAAGCGTGCTCAAAAAGACCTAGCATGGACAAAGGTCGATCATTCTATCAAAAGTTTTTTTTTTTTTTGATTTCGTCCATCAAACAAATATAAAAAAGAAAAGATGGATTGATCCAAGAGTCCGTGGCAAAAAGTTTAAAAAAAAAAAAAAGAGAGAGATGGACTTAATCAGTTTTTTAAGAAAAAATTTTTAACAGATTGCTCGTACTCGAGTGAAAGCAGCCAAAAACCGATTGGAACAATGCATTCCGCAATTACAACGAAAAAGGCCTAGAGGGGCCATGCTCTTTAGCCTGGATATGGTAACACATCTAGTCCAGTGAGTAAAGTAAACAGAAACTCTGCTCTTGAAAAAGTATGTTTGCCATAGAATAAAGAAAAAATTAGACCCCGATCTGATAGGGACATAATATACATGTTAATAATGCGTCAATAATCTATCCACGTCCAGGGCCATCATCATAAACAATTGTTACTGCATGCATGCGTACATCCATGTGCATTTGCTAGTCTATAATTCATACCTTATGATTTGAGCAAGGGTATGGACAATGCAACAATGTCCGACAAGGGCAGAGCGGCGTTGCAATACTGTGGCTGCTCGCTTACTTACTTGTTGTATGCATGTTCATGTATATATTCTTTTATATTATTTTATTTTAATTTTTTTTCTTATCGAAAATGAATATAAAGCGCTCATGAACATCTCTCTTCATTTTGCTCTTGCATCCTCTTTACGTTTCTTCTCTTTGGTCGTATTCTTTTTTTTTTTTTTTTTTTTTTTTTTTTTTCTACCTCGCTTTCTTTTTCGGCAACGACCCTTGTACAAATATAGCCATAACTCTCTCTTCCTCCTCAGTCATTTGTATATAATTTTAACGATTTTCATTCACAGAGAGATTAATCAAATACTACCATGATCTCTATTTCAACCCTCATTATCAGCGCCTGTCTGGCTGTGTTCTCAGTATGGTTATTTGCAGATTACTTTATTCTCTGGAGAGCAAAGATAAAGTCACATTTTGTTTGGAACGAGATGGACATTTACTGGTCCCTTGTCTGTTTGCTACCTATCCTATTGGGTCACTTCATCACCATCTGGGGGAACTACTTCCGCGCAACGAACCATTTCCAGCATTCAATCTCAAAAGTCACCACTCCTGCAACAGAGAAGCAGCGCATCTCGTTCTGGGAGCGCCATGATTCATACTTTGGGTACACGACCAAGTTTTGGTGGCTGGTCGGTCTGGTCGTCACAATGAACATTTACTGGTTCATCCTGACAACGGTCCTGAGCAGGGATGCGTACGTCGAGACCTATGGTTATATCCAGGGCAATCTCCGTTCCATCGCCTATGGTAGTTCTCAAGCTGTACTGCTTGATACATCCCTCATCCTCTTCCTGGTGCTCCGTCGGTCGATGCTTCATGCCCTCGGCTTTACTTATCCAGAGATTATCCCTCTCCATCGTTGGCTTGGTGTTTCCATGCTTGTCTGGTCTACAATCCATGTAGCATTTTATAGCGCCTGGCTGATCATGGAAGGCAAGTTTGTCAGCGACATTGCATTCACTGATAAGTCCCGTGGTACCCGCAACATGCCTGGAGTCTTTGCATGGGTATGTATCTCACTTTTTTTTTTTTTTTTTTTTTTTTTTTTCCGTATTGGGCTCCAACTTATTAATCCTGATCTGACTTTCTTCCCTTGCAAAATATACGAATTGGTGTTCACCTTGATCCGCTAGATCGGAGTCGTTATAATGTCCTTCTTTGCGCTGCCCCAATTCCGTCGATGGGTTTATCCAGTCTTCGTCTACGTCCATCGGGCAGGCACTTTTGTTTTCTTCATTGGTCTCATTATGCATTACCCTTCGTACATGCTTTGGTACTACATGCTTCCAGGATTCATCCTCTTCCTTATCGACCGCTTCGTCCCTAGGATCATCCAAGCACGTACAATCGATCCCATGGCCACCTGTGCTCTTAACACTGACGCCGACATCATCCGTGTCAAGTTTACATCACCAGAACCCATGAAGCCATATTATCCCGGTGATTACATTACAGTTCAGATCCCTGGTATGGGCCAGATCTTTCATCCATTCACTATTGCCTCGTACTGGCCCGAGGACCCTTACTCCATGACCCTGTATATGCGTGTCTTTAATGACTCCAAATGGAGCTGGACCAAGAAGCTTTCCGAACGCTGCGGTACGGATGACAGACCCATTCTGATCCATACCAATGTCGAAGGTGTCTTTGGTGACCGTCGTCATGACTATCTCAAGTCTGAAACCATGGTCATCTTCGTTGCCGGCGCTGCCATCACAACCTTTATGGCCTTGATCAAAGCCGTTGCTGCCCAAATAGCTGCTTCAAATGACCCGCTCCGCATGCAGCTTCACTTGGTTTGTACATTTCGCACCCGCAGTGAGCTCCATGCCTACGGGTCATTTTTGCATCAGATCACACGCGATCCTCGTTTTACCTCTTGGCTACATGTTCAAATATTTGTCTCTCGCCCTGACAAGCCCAAGACTCTGATGGGTGCCCATGCTTACGTTGTCAAGAACGATATCCAAGTTCCAAGCCAAATCAAGAAAAAAGATGGCAAGAATTTCCTCCAGCGTACCGGAACCAGACTAAAGCGCGCTCTTTCGGGCCGTACTGCAGTCAATGCCCCCGCACCCATCATGACGTCTGTGGTAGTGGAGAATGCTGGCGAAAGTTTGGAGCGATTCAGCTCTGCAAAGCCCACTGCTGAAACACTAGACGACATGAAGAGAAATCCTTCAATTGCTGCTGTTATGATTGACCCTTCATCCATGTCTCCATCATCTTCACCCTCAATCGAAATAAATCCCATTTCTGAAAAGCCCAGCAGAGCCATGACATACCATGACCAAGCTTTGCCAACGTTTCAGGCTTCGAATGCGGATGCAGTCTCCAAGAGGCTGGCCCTACTGGACCTCTTTACAAGTGCATTGTTAGTTCTTGTGCCCATGGCCTTTTACTATGGTATGCGTGCTGCCCGGTTCGAGGGCCAACCGCAATGGTGTCTAACTACCAAGAGCAAAGACAAGTGGACAATCTTTGTCTGCCATTGGACAAATGCCTTAGTCCCTGGTCTTGTTCATACAATCGCCATGCTTGCTCTTGGCTACTTTGGCATTGCTGTAGCCAAGAAGATCCATATGCGTCACCACCAGTGTGCTTCTAACAACATCGCCAAGGATATTGAAATATCTGGGGCTCATTCCGAGAAGCAATCGGTTGAGGGCGGTAACTGGGATGAAGGAGATGTCGTCTACACACGAGGCCGTATGGATGTCCGTAAACAGATCCAAGCCCTGGTGGATCAGGGTGTGGGTATGAAAGAAAATGGAGAAGGGCTGACTACTGTCTTTGCTGGTGGGCCCGAGGGTTTTGTTAACATGATTGAGAACCAGGTCAAGAAGGCAGCGTGGGTCGTCGATTTTAATCGTGAAACTTGGGCACCTTGAACGAAAAAAAAAGAACAACAATGCCGCATCCTTTGTATAATATCGACTATAATTCGCTTCAGTATATATTTCACAGTATTTTTATCCCATCTTTTTTTTTTTTTTTTTTTTTTTTTTTTTTTTCAAACAAGAAAATGTAGTATACTAATGTTGTCAATTAGTAAAAGCTCCCACTGCGGCTTCTACGGCTATGAAAATTATTTTACTTTTTATATCTATTTATTTATTTACTTATTATTTTACATCCTACGCTTTTCTTGCTTTTGTGTCCGTCGCCTTTCTTTTTCCTGTGCCAGCCGTTGTTTCTCCAAAGCCAATTTGTTCCTTTCCTTTTCATTCTCGCTCGCTTTCTTCATCTCTGCCCTTCGTTGAGCCTCCTTCTGTTTCACAATGTCAGCGTTGGTATTGGCCATAAGTAAAGGATCGGAGGACGAGGTTTTGGGCCCTGAACTACTAGCGGATCGATCTTTATAACGGATTTCCATCTCTCCATCTTCACCCTCCACCATTTCATCCAGATCGTATGCATATTGAGCTAATAGAGCCTCACGTTTTTTGCGTTCTTCTTTGGTCATGTTCTTGACAACATGTCGTGAGGACATCGATAGAACCTCACGACCACTTGGATTCTCAAACTCTGCCTTGAGAGCAGCCCGTTCTTTTTCTACACGCGTTTTATTATTATTATTATTATTATTAATCTTTTGATCTAGAGGTGCGATTTTTTTTTCTTCCTTATTTTCAATTACCTTTGGCTGCTTTGAGTGTTTTTTCCTTCTCTTCTTGAGCCTTCTTTGCTTCTGCTTCCTTCATTTTATTCCAAAATTGAAAAACTTCATCAATTACGGTTTGTGTGGGTTGTTCCGTAGCATCTGCCAATAACTCTGTGATAGCTTCTACTTTTTCGGGTTCTTCCATTGTTTCCTCTTCCACAATCCTTGCAAAATACTCTGTAATGGCCTTGAGGGAAAGGAAAAAAAAAAAGAGAGTATTAAAGATATTGTACATATTCTTTATTTTTTTATTTTTTTTTTTGGTCCGCTTATTAAAGAAAAAAAAGTACCTCATCTTCAAGACTAATAGTCGCTAGCCGCTCTGCAATAAAAGCCTCGATATTATTATTGTCCGTCATTATTATATTCTATTCCCGTCTATGAAATTACTTCTGTTCTCTTGTCTCCCGCAATGTTTGTGAAGGTTGGAATCATGAGCTTGTCATTTTGTTCTGTTTTGATTGAAAACCTACAGGTACCAAATCGGCAGTCACACATCCTTTGACTTCCTTGGACAGCCTTGTCTATCTCATTTTTCACGCACTTTCGTTTGGAAAAAAAGAAAGAGAAAAGAAAAAAAGTAGATTCCAATGACTCAACAACAACAGGAAGAAAAAGTACAACATCCTTCAAGAGCTGATCGCCAAAAGTGCTGGAAGGTCCGTGATGCATTCTTTGCATGTCTAGACCAATCCAACGTCGTGGACCCTTCTTCTCCAGAAGCTGCTAATATCTGTCAGGATTTGAGAAAAAATTATCATGATGCATGCATGAAGAGCTGGGTAATAGAACCGATTTCTTTCTCTCTCTCTCTCTCTCTTTTTTTTTTTTTTTTTTTTTTTTTTCTGTAAGAACATGGCTAGATATGAGCAGTCTTACTTAGTCTCCTTTTTTTTTTTTCTTTTCTTTTTTTATTACTAATTAGGTCGAATATTTCAATAAACGTAATGTTCAATATCAAAACATTTGGAACAAGATCAGTTGAATTGGCTATGCCCTATACAGAAAAAAAAAAAAACTATCACGGATTGATAATGGGAAAACTGACTCTCTGAATTATCATCATTTTTTTTTTATTTATATTTTATATTTTTTCCAGGTCGAGTATTGGAAGTTGAACAAAAAGAGATGCTGGAACGTATGAGAGCACAACACAAGGCTGCGGAAGATCGTGCTGCTGAAACTGCAAAGGCGAAAACACCAAAGGCAGCATAAAGCATAAAGCATAGGCATAGGCATAGGCATAGATATTGTGTAGTATTAAAAAAAAAAAAAAAAAAAAAATGGAATTCATCGAAATTTCGGCCATCCAAAACTTAAACACCCTCGCCAGTCGGTTTAAACGCTTGCTTTCAGGATTTTAGTCAAGATTGGTTGGGTGCATCATACGCCTAGAAAGTAATTTGATATCTCTTAACCTCATTGCGGTATATAAACAAGCGTTCCTTACACTTTCTTCCTTATTCTAAATATCATCCTGCTTATCCATCCTCTTAATCGCGAGGCCTACATGAAATGACATGTGCAAAACTACATTCGCTACACACACTGTACTTGAACCGGAAGTCTCTGATCAATCTACTTGGTGCTATCAATGTTGTCAATGGTACCCCTTCTCCCAGTGATTCTGTCTCTAAGATTGCCTCTGCTGATGGGTCTTGGTAGCGATCTTCTTGACTGAAGGCTGTCTTGGGTTTGGATCCCATTGATGCTGTCATGATCTGGTTGGACGCATTATATACGGTCAAAGGAGGGGCATGTTCGCCTATAGCTCCACGCTGCTCCAGAAGCTTCCTGTTGGCTTCACCTAATCCATCAACATCTTGAATACGTATTTTGCTCGCATTAAGGACCGTTTGCCTGGTGCTCCACTTCAGGCGATATTGATATTGATCATTCTCCTGTACAATCTGCCACATTCGAACAGAAACATCCGTACATCCCGTGACTAGAAAGTAACCTTCTTCAGAGACACTCCATACAAGCGTTCCAACATATCCAGCTGTGAATGGGATAATAACCAAACACCGGCCTGACTCTGGATCCCACACTCGCACTGTCCTGTCCAAACTACAGGAGGCAATGTATTTTCCATTAGGCGAATAAGCCATACCAGTGATCCACGCAGTATGTCCTCCAAGCGACTGTACAACTGTTCCGGATTCCGTATCCATCACAACAACCAACCCTTTTTCAAATCCAACGGCCATCTGTTGATTACTTGGTGAAAATGCCATACTTCCTGTACTACCTTCCAACTGAGCTTCGTAACATATCCCACCCGTTTCTGCGTCCCGTACTTGTAAGCTGTTACCGTAATTGCCGCGATTATACATTATCTTTCGACTGTCAGGGGTGTATACGATAAAAGAATTATCACTTGTTCTATCCTTCACTACATACTGAAGATCCCCTGATTGAGCGCACCAGACTCTAATACTGCCACTATTATCATACGAAGCCACCTGACGGCTATCGGGCGAGAAAACCACGCACTTCACAAGCTTGTCATGGCCCTGTAGAATGCGATTGAGGTTTCCCGTCCGTGCGTCCCACATGGAAACGTCTCCATATCTATGACCACAGGCAATTTGGTGACCGGTAGGCGAGAAGTCCAAAATGTAGATGTTATCAGCTTTTTCTCCTTGCATTCCCAAGGTATGGACGACTTGACCTGTTTGAGCATCCCAAAGATAGACGCATGAAGAATTACGATGGCAAGAAGCAAGCAACTGACCATCAGGTGAATACTTGATGTCGGATGCGCGCCCGCCATTGCTTTGTAAGACATGAATGGACTGTCCTGTTTGTGTATCCCACACACGAACTATCCCATCATAACTGCTTGAGGCTACCTGCCGTCCGTCTGGCGAGCTAATAACGTGATAGATTGGGTTTGAATGACTCTGTGAACCATGGCTAGACTGCTGTGACCGAGTATCCCAAAGGCGTATCGTCCCATATAAACTGAAAGATGCAATCTGATGGTTGTTTGGTGAATATGCCACGCAATTAATATCATTAGAATGGCCATAAAAGATATTCATGAGCTGCCCTGACCCCGCATCCCAAAGCCGTACTGTAGTGTCCCTACTGCAGGTGGCTATCTGCTCTCCATTCGGTGAATACTTTAGGTCCTTGATCGCACTGGAATGTCCTCCAAAGGTATGAATGGCTTTTCCTCTTTGTGTATCCCATTGGTATGCCTTCCCTGAGGCGAATGAAGCAGCGAACCTTCCTTTAGGTGAATACCGGACGCCTTGGACAATATTATCATGCTTTAAGGTCCACATTTTTCGACCAGTCCCAACGTTCCACACATACAGCCAGCGATCCTCGTGACAACGAGATATTATTTCATGACCATCAGATGAATATATGATTTGCTCAATCCTAGATCCAAACTCACGGTCCATTAGCATCACCATCTGTTGCTGCCCTGATGTCGCATCCCACAACCGTATCGCCTTGCCACCGCTAGTTGCAATCTGAAGTCCATTAGGCGAATATGCCAGACTTCTCACACCGCTAGTATGACCTGTTGTCATAAACAGGAACATGCCTGACTGAGCGTCCCATACTCGTATTGAGTTATCATCGCTGGCCGAGGCAAGATGATTTCCACTTGGTGAATATGCTATACAGTTAACTTGTCTTGTATGGCCTACCAACTTGTGAATTAATACTCCTGATGTTGTATCCCATATAAAAACTTCATGCTGACCACCCCAGGAAGCAATATTTCGGCTGTCTGGAGAGTATATAAGGCTGTCATCGGCCCTACGGTTCTTTAGGGTCAAAAGCTTCTCCCATGTTGATGTATCATACATAATGATTGAAAGCCTATATGTCCCATCCCTAATAACAGCAGCGAGTGTCTTGCCATCAGGTGAGTACATTCCTTTCAATACCATACCGCCTCCTTCAAGGAGTGGCCATTCACCAAACTGTACGCCTGCCATATTCGCACCACTCAGATCCGCTTCGCGGAGCCAACAGTTTCGTAAAACGACCTTCCTTAAATCTGCTCCTTGTAACTGAGCACACTCAAAAATACCATAGCTAAGGTCTGCTCCTGGGATCTGAATGTCCCGCAAGTCTGCTTCGATGAATGACTCGCCTGCTCGAACCAAGATTGTCATCGCATTAGCTGCTGCTATGCGCCACTTGCTATCGTTCTTCGAAAGCTCTACATAGGTATACAGCTGCTGTTTGAATATCGGTTCAAGGCGGACACGATCCTCTAGGAACTGAAGGATTGATGGTTCATCCACAAAGCTCCTCCATACTAAAGGTGAGCCTTCACCAGCCTTGACTAAATCGACTCCTTGCTCGTCTTCCTTGACATCTACGGCCTCAAAACTATATGCTGAACTAACACTCCGTCGACGAGAAGTTGATGTTGCCGCCTTTGTTTCTCGATCACTCGTAGGAGCACTCATTGCTGGCAGTGGCTCAAAGATCGCTCGTACCAGACTATATTCCAGAATAGTTCGATGAATAAACCGGTGCTGATTACCTGTACGGCTCAGCGGAGAAGCCTCGCGTAGGAGGTTCCTTCCATCCTCTTTGCTAAAGTACTCTTCCTTCCATGTACCTTTATCTTTGAATGGTGAGTAGTCCACTACTGGATTGCCATCTTGGTGCTTATAAATTGCTATAGCTAGCTCTGCCAGGTACCTGATCCCGTTCTGTGCAAACCCTTCGTCCGAGAGTATCCGGAACATCCTTCTATCTTCTGGCCTTAATGTCTCGCCTAACCGCTTCTTCCCTCGTTCAAGCCATAGCTCAACGAACCGGTCATACAACGTGACCCGCTTGACCTTCGTGTTGGAATTGTCTTGATTTGGATCAACCATCCGTGGAAGTACTTCTAGCGACATCGACAGCATGAATGGGTTCTTCACAAGTTCCTGTAGACTAGGGACCATTTTGAGAGCACGCTGGTACACCTCCACAGGCCACAGTGGATCCATAGCTGCGACATAATGCTTGATGTAGTCCTCGATCTGAGTCTCGGAGAATGGTACAATCACAGCCTCTTGAAACAGTCTAGCATCTGTTTGGTGATTACGGTCCATAGGTTGGAAACGATCTCGGTAGTCTAACCCAAGGTACTCACTGCGGCAACTGACCACCATCTGGGCCTTCCACTCGCCAGGTTGATTCAGTTGGTTGGCAACATACAGATTGTTGGTCTGCATACTCTCATCGTATCCATCACAGATCAAGACAAATGACCGATTCATCTTCAGCTCCTTGATCTGCGTGTCTGTGAAATCATAGTCTCGCAGCTGCTTTGTAACCAGATCCTTCTCTGGCTTATCAATGGCTGGAAGATTGATATACAATGGAATCCGTCCACGCCTCTTTTGATATGTCTCCCAGAGTGTGCGCTCCAGAGTGCGATTGAATGTGGACTTGCCCGCCCCTGAGTTACCTTGGACGAGTAGCACTTTCTGATCGCTGTTTAGGAACTCTTTTACCTTTTCCATCAGCAAGAACAGCTTATCATCGCTTGCTTGAGGATTTGCTTTGGCATATAGTTGGATGTAGAATCCTTGATCATTTCCAACCTCCATCCGCTGCCTCTTTAGTTGGCGTAGACTATTCTCGACACCAGGCTTCTTCTGTACACGGTCAAGTAGCTTTGAGGATGTAGGCGGAGGGAGTGTACCAATGAAGGGGTACTGGATCAATGCCCCTTTGAGACAATTCCTGTATACCTCTTGCTTCTTGAGGTCTCCATCTATTTCTAGCTCATTTAAGAGAGTGCTTGTACCTGAAAATAAAAGAAGAAAAGAAGAAAAAGAAGAAAACAGGGTATGTGTGGAGTATTAGAATTAATTATTATACACTGAGTGATCCCGAGGATTCCAAACATGTCCATAGGAAGGAAAGAAAATACATACATTGTAGTCCATCCAATGATAGCGAAGATAGTTTCCTTAGGATATGTACGATCCACTGCTTGATATCTACATGACAGCCCCACTCCTGGTCATTCTTGTAGATCTCTCCAAGTAGTATGATGGCATCCTGCCGAGCATCCATAGTCCACTGTGTGCCACCTGCAATCTGTCCTAATCTCTGACATAGTCCCCATTGGAATGCTGCGTCATTTCGGCAGGGTGCTTCACACACAAGGGTCTTGAATTTAATGAGCTCGCCTGTCTGGAGTAGTGCATCCGCTCCACGAAGTGCTGGGTACCATGCTGACTTGCGACTAAAGCTGAGTCCTTCTTCCATACACTGTTTGAATGTTGCTCCACTCGTATATAGTGAGGCTATACCTGTGTACATTTGTAGACCCGTGGCAACGATATCTGTTACATATGGAAGCTCTTTATGGATGCTGCTTATCTCGCCTATGAAGGCATTCAGATCCATGGCTTTAACTGCGCTGACTGCTCCAAATGCTCCTCGGAGTATATCTGATGTCCGTCGAAGCATGGCTTGCATTGCTGTTTCATCATCTGGAATATACAGTAGAGCTTGGAACCCATAGGCTGCTTGATAGACTAGATGTGGCTCAGAGCTGTCTTTCAGCCCTTGGAGATATGCTGCAAGTGGCTCATGGAGTTGTTCTCGCCTCAACCCCTTGACTTGGTTGTTGACCATGGCATCAAGCACATCTGACACTGTAGCTGACAGTCGGTAAAGATGGTCGGTAGATTGTCCATGTGTGCCTTGTAGGCGGGAACTGAGGGTGTTGAGGATTGAGACAAGGTCATCCGAGTCGAGGTATCCAGAAGGTGCACTCTGCATCAGCTGGGCTAGTCCTTCCAGCAAATGAGTCTCCAACATGACGTTCTGCTTGATTCCATTGACCAAACCCATAAGCAATGTCCTGAATTGGACTCGGTCCAGAACTGGAGCCAGAGATATAACCTCCGCGACAGTAGTCTCGGTCTTGGCGTTGTCATCGATGAACATCTCAATCACATCCGATACCAGTTTATGCAGTCGCTCTTGTTCATCCTGATCGTTTGATATGAACTGGCGCCATTCATCCTCATGGTCATTCAGGTCCGTTGTTGGGATAGGAGCATTAGGAAGCAAACTAAGACAATATACAAGCTGGTGGACACTATTCAAGTTTGCATCAGCATCCGGCAAGCTATATCTGATGACTGTTGGAGGAATGTTTTGATTGAATATGTCCTTTGAGATAGTTGCTATGGTATGCACTGGCATAGGTTGTGCTGCTTTTGCCACCTTAGTCAGACTGCGACTATTGGTGCTGTTGACTCTGCATTTGATGGTATTATTGATATTGTCGTTGTTGCTGTTGTTGTTACTGCTCTGTTTGATGTAACCCCATTTTTCAGCTTTTTTCTCACGACCTTGAGCAACATCTGGGTGACCTAGCTGTTCAAATAAGCGAGCGAGTTCATAGCAGGCTGAAGCAACACCTTGACGCAATGCCATATCCTCACTAGAAGCTGAAGATGGTGGAGAGGTTGAAGAACTGAGTGACTTTTTTGCAGGTCGTTGGATTCGAGACAGCACAGAATCAGCATCAAGACATAATTCCATCACTATATCGCTGTCGTCGTCTAAGGTACGAGCGCCCTTCATATAGAAATCGAAAAGTCTTAAAGCCTGTGCCGGCAAGAGTGCACTCCGGGATGGAGTATTCGTTATGCCGAGCATTGTCTGTCACTTTCTTTTTATTTCCTTTGGTGTGAGAGAAGAGAGAAAGACGAAATGTTTGAAACGATAATGCCCGGAACGATAACGTTTTTATTGGTCCCAAGTGGATTGTGTGACGTGAAGGAAGAATGAAAGAATGCATGCATACAATATAACTTCTTCCCCCCCCCCTTAAGCGATGCGTTTTCTTTTTTTTTTCTTTTTGGAATACTCATGTATTTACAGTACTTGAATGGGTAGTATTATCAGGAACGGCATTTGGGTCTGGAATAGCTGATGATGAACACGAATGAAGCCGTGAGCATAGTGTTTAGCATCTGTCTGAAGGTAATAGCCAATTTCTTGATGAAAGATTGAAGCACGGGATTTAAAAAGAGATTTGGGCGCAGCACTTGGATAGTATCGCAAAATAAAGTTTGGATGGAATAATAGGGTTGATTAAAGTAACCAGGATTGATTGTTCTGATTTCTCTATTTCCCAATCTTTGTCCCGACACGAGTATGTCTCCGAATGTAAGCTTACAAAAGACACTTTCACTTTCGCACTTTTTTACTTTTGGACTAGCTGTGTCTCCTCTTTTGTCTTTGGGGCCATTTTTTTTTTTTTTTTTTTGCGTTTATTTTCCATTTCCATTTCAGTTTTTATTTTATTTTTCATGTTTAGCCTGGGAAACTTTTTTTTTTTTTCAGTGCTACTTGGAAGATTTTCACCGTTGGTGGTTTCTGATGTGGTATACCGTCGATATAGTAGTATATTTGCCACCATACTATTATTGATACATCAGCAGTAACTGTACATTACACCAACTAAAGTCACTGATGAAAAAGAAAAAAAAAAGCACTGGGCTTTGGTGAAATCACATGTAACAATTAAGGTAACTACAATAAATAAATATAAAAAAAAGCAAGGCGCTTAGACCGCTAAATCATAAAGCATTTCAAAATACAGCAAGGATAGGGCCCATCATCATTTGATGGATAAGTGGCCAAAGAGAGATGTCATTCATTTGTATTGTATATACTATTTAATAATAGATGCAAGACATGTTTAGCCGTAAAATAATAAAAAAAAAAGTCATGATAAAAATGCAAATTTAAACATAGAGAAAGCTATGGTTGTGGCCATCGCTTTTTGAAGAGGGGGATAATTAGAATGATGGTATTAAATATATGATAAAGATATGACAAAGATATGATTAAGATATGATAAAGATACGGCAGTGGTGGTAATAAAATACTTTAAGAATGTTTATGAACGCTTTCAATTACAGAAAACTGGCAAGAGCAAAGGAGCGAGCACCAGTGAAACCTAGGTTAACAAAGCGTTTAAATTTTTTTTTTTTTTTTTTTGTATTATTAGTTTTTGTTTCAATGCATGCTTACAAATTGACAATAATGTCAGCTTTGTTCTTTTTTTTTTTTTTTTACCAATGAGGCCAAGGTATTGTAGATCAATGTTCTCGGGTCGTTGCAGTCCATTTGAACATCGTGACCTCAATAGCTTGATCAACACATACCGACCAGACCGAGTCGGGGTTAGATCTAATGTGCATGTTTCATCTGGCCCATCCATTTGAAAGAACGCTGCTGGGATCAATGCATCTGCATCAGCTCCATGAGTCTGGAGTATTTTTCGATACGCTGAACCATCACTATCATTGATACCCTTCATATATTCCTCATATCGATCTCGCGTCATGTTATCAAAGAAGGTAGTCTTTTCCAGTGGAATGGGTTCATGGCTAATAAAAATAAGCCCCTCCTTACAAGGTGCTGTGAAGCCTGTGGTTGGGGCCTTAGCTTGGAATTGAGTCAAGACAAATGACCTGTGGGGCTCGGCCAATTTGAGGCATATGTTGATATTCGTAGGTCTTCGGGAACTGGAAGAGTTTTTTTTTTTTTTTTTTTTTTTTTTTTTTTTTTTTTTTTTTTTTTTTCAATTAGTTTTTTCTTTATCCTTTTGTACAGGGACGTAAAAAGGCTAGTATGCGGTGGACTCAAAGAGACGAATCTTACCAATAAACAGAGGAGTCATTCTTGAGCACATTCTCGACTGAATGTGCAGCATTAAATTCACCACCATCAGCATAATACATGTTAAACTTCAATGGCCAGACATCACCTTGAGCCTCTATGTTCTCATTAGATACAGCTTCCCTGCAGGTTCTATGGTCAAGCGCTACTCCCGGACTCGCGGCTGTGCCCCCCTGAGGGTACAATTGGTTGCTGCCGTTATAACGAGTCACCAAATTAAAAGTTGGAGTTGGGAACGAACGTCTCAAATCAGCTGTGCCTCTATTAGATGTTGTGGTAATGGTAGTGGTGGTAGTACTAATCCTGGAACTAACTGACCCTGGTTGCCCATTACTGGGTGGTGTATGATGCATCGAGCTTCGGTGCAGTGATGAAAATCCGACTCCAATGTTGCTGTTGCTATCGTCCCTAATGACGGGAGACGGTGAAGTCAGAGGTCTGCGGAAATAAGGGTTGCTATCGTATTCATGTTGAATAATTTGCGAGAGCGTAAGCAAACCCGAGGCAACAGATGAATGGATGGCTGGATGCGGATGCATTGATCGGCCGTTAGCAGAGAGCATTGACGTGAGAGCTGCAGCAGAGCGTGGCGAGAGTTGAGCATGTCGTGGGCGCTCTAGACGAGAGGTGTATGACGAGGGGGCTATCATATCCGAGTCCATAGAAGCCACACCTGCTCCACGTCGCTGCCTATTTTCTATGACTTGCTCGATACCATCATCGTCATCATCGTCATCATCGTCATCGTCATCATCGTCATCCTCGTCGCTATTGTTATAAGAATCATCGTTTTCATCGTCTTCGTTCTCTTCTTCCCGAATTAATGAAGGACGGTGAGGATGTGTGTGAAGCATCAGAGATGCAAATCCATCTCCTCGAGTGGTAAGCGCGGAGCTAGAGGATTGTGAAGGTCCATAGTCTATACCATCCATTTCGTCCTCTAGTATGTATTCGTCCTCTTGGTCTGAAGGGTCGCTTTGGGTATCCAAACGCCTTCTTTGATGCCGAAGCCCATGTGGGAACATAACAGATGCTCTCATGGCTTGGCCTTCGTCATGGCGAGATAGTCTATTCGAGGTCGAAAAATACATGCTATTCAGCTGTCGAAAATGGATGCGTTCATCGACCTCATACCGTGCTTCATTTGGTGGCGTTAGTCTTCCTCTTCTAATTGATCCACGTGGAGCGCTATTTGAATTAAAGTTGGAAGCGTTACCACGATCAACGGCCATAGACACAGACGTCTGACTTGAAAATCTGGAGGAGGTGGCGCTCAAAGGCGGGCTGGGAATGGAGAGTGAGGGCATACGGACAGATGCTATTGGGGATGAAGAAGAGACAGAGATGGATATAGAATCCGAATCTGGTGTCACAGTTGCAATGCTAGAGAGAGTAGAGTTGGAAAGCGAGTCCATAACAGGATTGTTTGTCAAGGATCGCTGCATTGGTGTAGATGTGAGCATACTGGTGCTAACGGAACTTCTCTGAGACGGAAGCTGTGACAGTCGCTGACTTGCAAGACTAATGTGGGCTGGAGACAGTGTTTGCTGGTGACTACTGAGTACTGCATTACCACCAGAAGCAAGAAAGGTGGAAATATTTGTGGCGGGATCAGAACTGCTCATTGACATTATAGAAGGAGCAAATGTCTGGTGATATGCTTGTTGCTGCAGCTGATGAGGAGGAGGAAAGGAGTCAGGAGAAGGTGCAGTTGCTCTTGATATCGATGTTGTTGAGCGCTCGCTAGGGGGAGACAGTGAATGTGAAGGTGATGATGATACCAATGTTGTGGTTGTTGCTGCTGCTATTGTCAAGGGTAGTGTGGGGGGTATTGATGGCAATGTTGAGACCATCGTCACAGTTGCTGAGACTGGTGATGACGAAGAAGTGAGAGAAGATGTATCTTCTGCATTTTGTCGGCTAGTAGCGATGTTGTGGTCATGGGGCCCTAACCGTGGTTCTTGGTATAATGATGAGGATATTGGAGCATCAAAGGTTTGCTGGTTTAAGATCAGTGATCCAGAAACAGATGGGTGACGGTGGGAATAGAGCAGCTGAGACTGATTCAGACGCTCTGCACGACTATTGGGATGACTCGATGGTGTAACAGGGTAATAGCGCGTCCGCGGCGAGTGATGATGATGTGTGGATGAAGTATCAAAGGGAGATCGACGCTGCAGCCTGCTCCAACGCCGGAGGACACTAGGGCCGTTATTCAGACCTAGTTGGTTTGGAAGATGGTTGGAGCTGACATTATGGTTCCCCTCAGCATTACTACCATTAATATTTCTGTCGGAGTTGACACCTGAACTGTTGGCATTGCGGTTACCACCAGAAGAACTACTGTTGACTACTGGGATAGGGCTCTGCGTTGTAGAAAATGGGATGGGCATTGGAAACAAATGGAGTGTGACTAATGGAAATGGAGTGAATGAATGTGAATGGAGTGACTGCAAGCTTTTTTTTATATATTTGTGTATAAAAAATAAAATAGAATAAAATAAAAAAAAATAAAAAAGAGAAGTTGCAAAGTCGGGGAGAACTTGTCTTTGTGTTGTTTACAATCCGTGTTCAGGTGTAGGTTTGAGACGAATGTGCCTGGAGAAGAGGAAGAAGAGGAAGAAGAGGAAGAAGAGGAAGAAGAGAAAGAAGAGGAAGAGGAGAGAGTTGTTGAACAGACCGTGTCAAGGAACAAGGGGCGAATTAGATGTGAATTATGCGTGGATGTGAATGTAAAGGATAGGCAGGTGTAAACAAAAAAAAGCCAAAAAAAATAAAAGCAAAGAATTATCAATTAGGGAAATGCCTTGCAACAATAAAACAAAAAGCAAAAATAAAAATAAAAAACTTAGACATTGTTTTGGATGCCACAGGTCCGGAAGAGATAGTCATCTGAGCACATCTTTATTCATTTGCCTACCCCGTTGTCTTCTTTCATTATACTAACCATCAAGCTGTTGGCGTGGCAACGAACCCTTTCACTTTCGCACTTTTTGCCTTGACTTTCATTGTCGCACAGAAACAATGACCGTTTGACGACAGTAAATAGAACAGCAATAGATCATCTGAAGAGGACACTGCTCGTCTTTTTATTTACAAAAGATCAAAGGGCGCATGGCATTGTTTTATTCCCTGGATTCTTGATCATTTACTCTCAAATCCATGCTATTCATCCTCGGAAGTGTAGCACCGCATGGCAACCAAAAAAAATAATAATAATAATGCGCGAGAGAACTTTAATAACGACGCTACAAGCTTTTCTGTTTATAAAACATTCGTAGAGCCATACTTCGTCCAGTTGTGTTTCAAAAGGACTGATTGACCGCTATTACTGCTGTTGTTGTCACAACTGCCTCTGTGGATATTTTTAAAAATTCAGGAGACAAGGAGAAAGAAAGAGGTAGGCAAGTGAGGGTATAAGAGAATGAAAAAATAGGGAAGACGAAAAAGAGGAAAAGAGAAAAATAAGAGTTGCTGATTAGTTCATGCTGATGTTGGAACTAGGTGCGTTTTGCATTGTGCATTTATTTAGTTAGCACACCGACTTTTTTAAAAAATCAGCGCACCGTCCGATTACAACAAATAAAGGGGATGTTGCAAGATGTATGCGGGAATTCTTGGATCGGGCCAATCGTCGCGTAGATCAAAAAAAAGCTTGAAAAAGGGGTTCAGTATGGACTGGGAAAAAGGTTGACCACATCCCTTTTTACTTAATCAAGATCTGTTTACAGCAGAAGGAAAGGAAAGAAAAGAAGAGAGATGGGAATCAATATTTAATACAACGGACACACTCCCTTGAACTGTATCCAATAGGTCAGTAATGTAACGTTCTTTCAATCCCCTGTCTCTTTGTTCACCTCACCATCTCCAGTCAAAACACGTTGCTCATAACACCAATACCACATACCACAACACTCCTTTTGTGAACACAATCAAAGACAACATGACCAATGGGAAGAGATGAACACAAATAAGGCTTCGCCCAATTATCCACGTGCTCAAGGGGATTAGTTTTTCAATTTGCGGGAAACGGAGCTCTTGAACTTCGCGGGCCTTTTAACGCCCGTCTTATGAAGACAAAAAAGGGGGGAGAAGAGGGGGAGCAAAAAGACGGGAAGGGAGGTTGGGAGACTGTTCGAAAGAACATAGCCATACGGTGCTGCTCGCCTAACGTGACCACCTCTCCAGAATCTGCTTCATGAGCCCCTGTCACCATGAGTCTGAGGCATGTTGGTGAGTCTAATCTTCCTCTTCCTCTTCATTGCTTTTCGTATTATCATTTGTCATTCATATCCATACTCTTCAACATACTGTTAGCAAAAGCAGTAACAGCGGTGCCACATTGTGCATTTGTTTGGATGATCTAACCAATCTATCAGAAGCTCGGGCGTGACCAAGGCTGTATGGATGGCTATATTAGTCATGTCGATTGGGCATGTTTGTGCTGCTACAAACAGGCAGGATTTTCATCTCAGGTTTTGAGAATCAGGCTCCACTGGTTTTCAAAGCTTCTCTTAAGGAGGCTTTTTTTTTTCAAAGAGATCATTTTTTCTTTCTTCCCTCACGTCACAATCCCGCCACTTTTAGGTTTGGGTCTTAATGACAGTCATACATGCAGAGGACGCATGAACAAAAAAAACATTTTCCCACCCAAATAAACACAGGCATTTTTCATCTAAAACATTTGAATTGGAACCTACAGTCCAAAAGGAAAA